CTCCTTTACAAATATTCAATTCTAACAAAATTCCGAGTTCATACCTCTTGTCAATCCAAGATGGCGTCCAATATGGCCGCCGATTTTATGCAAAACTGTTATATAATTTCTATAGTATAATTTATAGCACATATCATGTTTATTTCGATAAAAAAGTGTTACAACATATCAGAAATAATCAAATCGTATGTAAATCATAATGAAAGTGAAGTTTTTTAAGTTTATGTCTAAAAAATATCTTTAAAGATATCAAGAAAAAAATCTCATTTTTTGCATATTTCTCTAATTTAGTTTTCTAAATCTATATTCAAAATTTAAAAAAGTTACTTTATTTCTTATTTGTCATTCAATTAAAAATAGGGGTTTGTTGTTAACATGTAAGAAAACCATAAAAACTGTAGGTTTTATATCTTATCAAAGTGGGTGGGGTAAATTTATCCGATAATTATAAAAGAAAAACAACAAACTTTGCACTGGTACATGTTATCTGTTTCTATTTCTTCGCTTTTTCTGTTACTTCTTAAGCAAATGTTAAAAAGCATTCTTTATTGGAAAAATGTATTTTGTTTTTCTTTAGTTTATACAGAATTTATTTTAGTTTGATTGTGTAGGAAGCTATAAAATAAATGTCATTCTTTGGGTCAAGTAGATGAGATAAAATATCAATAAATGCATTTACATTCATTAGTATACAATCACTTTTTAAATTTGTTGCGTGATATTGCTTGTTCAATATCTTGATATTTTTTATTAATTGTTAATTGTAAAGATATTTTAGAAGACAGTTAATCAACAAATATGCTTTACATAGCAAACATGCACATGATTTAGGTTGTCCATTAACGCATATTATTAACTCCTTCACAATTTCATATTGAAAATATCAAAATTGCTTTAAAGCTAACTCAGTGAGAAAATGATTTTTGCATAAAGTAAACATAAAGTTACTGTCACATCATCTCATCTATATGTTGTGAAACAGATATATCAATGATATCACCTGACCTACATACAGCTTTTGATGATTTAAAATAAAATAATTGTTATTCATAAATTACTTTATATCTATTTTTTTATTTCAATAACAGGGCAATGATGACCCTATATCCAGACGTCACCATTGTTTGGAAATGATCATAACATTTTATAAACGTAGGTAATTGGGTGTTTCAATTTTGTCGTAACATATATGATTTGTGAAATATTTGTAATCGGATGCTTTAAAAGAAACAGCCTCATAAGCAGTTTCACAGAATTGTTTCTTATGAGAGGACTTGAATAATTATTAATATTCCTATATGAGTCCATATAAACTTAGTGAACCCTGGTGCATGATAAATTTTGACCATCTTGTCCATGATTTATCAACTATTTGTAGAATATTACAAGATTATGATGATACATAATTAATGTCTATAATCCGGTACTGTAAATATAGAGAATACAGATTTATTACTTAAGTCTGTGTAAAATAAGTGATACCCATTTCAAAGCCATTTTAACTGCAGGATCATCATACAATTTTATGCCTTTAGTTTAACACTAGAAGTTTTCATTCTGTTTTCCTATACAAGTCTATAAACCCGGGTGGCTCTTTGAGCAAGATTAATTTAATATGTTAAAGACACAAGATGATGAAACATGCTTAGTATCATGTTCTATGCTCTGTACATTTTGCTTTTTGAGAAAACTTTTTAAACATTTTTACTATGTAAAATCTATGTACACTAAGTGACGCAAAGAGCGCTTGGTGTAACTTTTAAAGAGGTCTTTTCTACTTGACAATGTTATACCGGTATGTTTAATATGTAAGTTCTAAGCATTGTAGTTCTGCAAAAGAGGACTTACATGTGATTTCTTATATTTATGTTTTGTCCATTTAGAGAAAGTCACAAAAGGTCACACTTGTATGGATGAAGTGAAAACACAACTCTAGTATTTGAATGAAAATAGGGCATTTATTAAATGCCATAAAATATATAGCAACTAAAAAACGTTTTCACAAAAACATAACTGGGTGGAAAGAATGAATGCACAAAGACATAAAAAACTTTATGTCACCATAAACTTCTATAAGTCTTTCAAAACTAAGTGCCCCTTGTGGCAGGCCTTTTAATCATGCTCCTACAGTCTAAAATGGCTTTCCCTGGTATGTTACTTATGTTTGCATAGACTTAAAACTGTCTTAAAAATCTTCTCCGTAACTTAAGTTTACAGAGCAGACAAATTATCATGAAACATCACTTTGTGATACCTCTATACAAATTATGAATTATTGGCATAGGATCAAATTATTAAGTTTATATGGACTCATATAGGAATATACATTTGTAACTACATGAGTCTTAGTGTGAAACAGTTCTGAGTACCTAGATATTGGGCATGTTTCCTTTGAAGCAACCTTTACAAATAGTTCATAGATCATAACTGTATGTGGTGAAAAATATTGATACTCCTTACATGATCTTATCTTACTTCTGTATTGAAGAGTTATGGCTATTTTCCTGCAGTGGATCTTAGGTCAGTGGTCTAGGATTGTTTAATGGGGAACATGAAATTTGAATAGTCTTTGACAGACAGTTAGTTTATATTCCAAATCATCAGCAACTTTATGTGGGTCAAGTGATACTATTGATATACTTATTTCACTACACATATGATATGATGTATCAGTGCCTTAATTTTAATTTGCATATTTTGAAAATACCATGTCTAGATATGCTATTCTATAAACAGTGCTAATTCAATTATACTTAATTACAATGACATGAAAGTAGACATAACTTGAATCGTTCTGTAACAAGCCTTCAGTAAGACTATGATATCTCATGTAAAATTCATTTTTCTCATTGTGTTGGCTTCAAAGCGATTTAAATCTTTTAGTAAAGATATTGTGAGGGAATTAATTTTATTCGTAAATAAGACAATATTTAACGCATGTTTTGTTGATGTATATTCAGTCTACTATCGTTACAATTAACTGATAATATTAAGAATATTGAAACAAGTTATATCTTGCAAACACATTTTATAACTGACTGTATACACATGAATGTATGTGCATTTACTGGTATTTTAGCACACCCGTCTAGACCTGAATGTAGACAAACATTCCTTAAAAACCAGTACTTTTTAACAGTAAATATTTTCCTAAGAATTCATAGAAAGTTTTACAAAAGTAAATAAATAAAATTAACTTCCAATTTTGTTGTTTTTGTTTTTCAATTATCAGATAAATTTACCCCACCCACTTTGACAAAATGTAAAACCTACAGATTTTATGTTTACAATAAACACATAATATTAATTAGATATCAAAAACACTTAAAGAAACTAAGTAACTTTTTTGAGTTTTGTACAATGACCTATTAGAAAACCATGTTAGAGAAATATGCAAATATTGGCACTTTTTCTTTAGTATTTTTAAAGATACTTTTTGAATAAATAACTTAAAAAGTTTGACTTACATTGTGGTTTACATATAATTTGATTATTTTTTATCGAAATATGCATATTTTGTGATACTTATTACATTTTGTATATGACAAAAGATATATATCAGTTTTGCATAAAATCGGCGGCCATATTGGACGCCATCTTGAATTCTGAAGAGGTATGAACGCGGAATGTGTTCAAGATTTGAATTTTTGTAAAGGAGAACCTTTATACATGCTTTAGTGTAAGTTTCAGATCTGTACAAAAATTTCACTTAATTCGCTATTATGTACGTCAAATTTATTGGCGGCCATTTTGAAAATGGCGGCCATCTTGGATGAGCAGAGATATTTTTGGGCCCACTTCACTTTTGGAATCTCTATAGTGTAAAGATGATTTCCTGAATGTTTCGTGCTTGTATCACAATTTGCACTATTTTGACAGGAGAGACCTTATTTCCCGCTCCACTATTAGTACATACACGGATTTATATTCCTCAATATTTCATTTATAAGTAGATTTACATAGTAAATTTACAGAGGATATTTGTTTGTTTTGCATATAAGCTTGAAATGACTACGCTACTCCTGAAAATAGAATATCTGTTGTTCACGAATGAAATATATTTCAATCGTATATGTAAAACAAATAAATTTTCTTTTTAATTCATTCTTTTTAAGTGATTTCAAGTATTTTTACTGATTTTGCTGCGTAACGTCGCGCATTCTACTTTGAGACGTCATCACATCATGGCGTCGCATCATCAATTTTGAAATGAGCCGTGTCACGACAAAACCAACATAATGGGTTTGCGACCAGCATGGATCCAGACCAGTATGTGCATCCGCGCAGTCTGATCAGTATCCATGCTGTTCGCTATCAATTTCTCGACTTGTAAAAGGGTTGGTAAGCGAACAACAAGGATCCTGATCAGACTGCGCGGATGCACTGGCTGGTCTTGATCAATGCTGGTCGCAAACCCATTATGTTGGTTTTGTCATTACACGGCTCAAATATTGTTCATTTTTTTTACATTTTTAACATGATGTATGATCACATCTTTTCTGAAAGAAGCAAAATTTAGTATGACGTCATTAAATTAATTATTGCCTGTAATTCCATTTAGTAATGATATTCTTTTCATCCGCATTCAGATTTAGTCCAGCTACAGTGAAAATTATATTTTACGAATTTCACTTGATGTTTATCAGAATATAACCACAGTAAAACACTGGAAAGCATGAAATAAATTCATTTCTTTGTTTTCTATTCATTTATTCGTTAATTTTCATTTGAATTAATATTTTTATTCATATTGACTAATATTAAATGTATCAAAAGAGAACAAATAGACAAATTAAGGTCAACTTCCCTCTGACAAGTAATAATAATTTTACCGAAGGTGAAGCAAAATTTGGGTCGAATTGACTTGGGAACAGTTTGATATAATCGAATTTCGGAATACCACGCTGTTTACCCATGTCGGTTCCCAGCAATTGCGCAAGCGCGAAAATTTATCAAGTAAATCGGAAACCAATCTGCCAAAATACGATTTAGATGGGGGTCAAATGTCAAACACTATCAAATTTCACAGTGTTTCTTATAAAAAGCAGTTAGTGATGTGGCAGTAAGAGAGAGAAGAAAAAACGCATTCTTTATCATTTTTAACGCTATTGATTTACTTTAAATTGCGATTTTGAAGGAATTATTCAGTAGAATCTACACACTGTTAAATTCACAAAACATGGCTAGAATTCTTTTGCATCTGTTGATGCTGATTTCTACAACGATTCCAAGTTTTTGTTTTGAAAAGGATAACAAAGGTAAATATATTCCATATTTACTTGATGAGTTACAATATGTAAACCAAATATAGTCGAAAAATCCGGACCTCTGCGCATGCGTCGGCGTTTGGAAAATCCCTAGTCTGGATTACCTGCCCTTTTCTCTGCGTTCCTCTGCGTACTAAAATTTATAGTACGACGGGAACCAGACTAGGAAAATCCCGTCCGCCATTTTTGTTAATCTCTAATCACAGTTGTTGTTTTTACGTTATTTTTAATGTGCTAATTTATCAAAAAGGATATGTTTGAATAACTTTTTATATTTATAGTCGTTACTATAATTCTTATCAATGAAATGCAGGTTTATTTTCTGATTTTGTACATCATTCTTTCACCGGAAGTGTTACTAAGCATGCGTCTGCAATAGTCTGAATTATGTAGACGCTCATTTAAAGCGTTCAAAAGGATTTCAAAATGGCGGCGCCCAGTTAACTAAGGATTTTTTCGCAGCCCATTAGGTATAGGATATATATTTTTTTGAAATTTTCATATAGTTTGAATTTGATTTCCTTTAAACTGATACGCGTCATACATGTTATCTAAGAGCGCTACAGCCCTCGCGGGGCCTTCGGCCCCGCTCGGACTTTCCGCGTATTATTTTATAAATTTATGACATTTGATTTGCATTATTGAGTTTGGGAATATACTGTAGATTCTCTTCTATAGTCACTGCCATAGACAGACTAAATAGAACAGTGTACAAAGTTGATGCTACGTGACAACTAACATGTATATGTAAAATGAATGTAAATTCATACTAATATACAAACTATATATTAGTATATTGTGTAATGGGAATGGACTTATAATTCATTTCTGACTTAGGATAAATGTTTTTCTATCACAAAGATAATAATGAGACCAAAAATCAAATAAAGACGTTAAAGAAACAACAAAGAACTTAAAAGAATATAAAAACAAAACAAACACAATGGCGCCTTCAATGTGTCATTTTGAAAATACAGAGGGAGGAAATAAGAATGGGGGTTAAATAGAGTGGGTGGACCAACGCTCGGGGTAAAAATACTATATTTGATATGGCAAATTCAAATCAACGTCAACAAACCTCAATGATATATGTCCATTTTCAAGACCGATGATATTGTTTTAAATAGCCATTGTGTAAAATTTGCTAATCACATAATGATGTGCATGGCTGGAACTTATATTATATATATAATAGATTCACGAATTCGAAAACCTTGCTAAACGCCGTTTTCCGGTACTTTCTGTACATAGCTCTGGGGAATTCACCAAATGAAGTGTAATAGCAAACTCAATGTTTTCGGCCTTTTTTGAAATTAAGTAAAATGAAATAAAACAGTTATTTCTTTATAAGAAAATAATAAAATATCATTGTATGAATATTTCCATACATAAAATAAAGTAAATACACAAGTTTACGCAGAAAATAATCTTATTTAGTATGGAAGATTCCACTACGTCTGTTGAATTTTATTGATTTTCATTTTAAACAATTATTTTTTTGAATAATTTGCAATAGATATTAAACGAATATTGATAATTTTCAAAAACTTCAATTTTTTCACCTTAAACGGTTAAATAATGATAGAAAAATAGACATATCTCGTAACTGTGTTATGTACTTCATTTGGTGTAATTCCCCAGAGCTAAAACGGTAACGTACCGGAAAACGGTGTTTAGCTAGGTTTTCGAAAAGGTCTATAGTCCGGATAAACAAGAGTGGTTTGCGTGAAATTGTACCATAGCTCGTGTACTACATGATGCAGGATTGTTTTTCGAATAAAATCTCTTTTTTATCTTATGAAGAAAACACATTGAATAAATTGTAACAACCAAATTAGGTTCATACATTTACAAGTACCCAACCTTAAATTTAAATTTTACAGCGCCAGAACTCTAGTGTTAAAAGATTTTAATAATTTATATGTTGCGGATTACATACGGTTGTTTGTCTGCTATTAGCATATTCACGCGACTTTACCAGCAGTGAACCACACCAGGATAAAATGGTGAAAGACGTAAATAAAAGCACCAGTGACCTAAATCGGAGATAACTCGAGACATTTTCAGATATTCTAAAAAAATATTCTTTACGCCGGGCATTGGTATGCGCCGAGCATTGGTCCAACCACTCTAATTAATGTGAAGTATAGGCTAATAATAGCATGCTTCTGGCCTTCTTTGTTTATATTTACAGAAATCTCCTATAGTGATCAAATTATTTTTGAGCATAATATATGACATCAACAGAAAGAAATTAATTTTTTTTTTTGTTTACTAGCACCTTTGTGAGAATTATTTCTCCCTTTTCATGTTTTCATATATAAACACATAATTTTTGAAGTCTTAAAAAATAAGTTACATATATATGCAAAGAAAAAATAAGCTACATATATATGCAAAGAACTAAAAAAAATTTAGTAAAATAACTTCTTTATGTTCTTAAATTCATTGCGTCAACAACTGTCAGCATACAATTTATCAGTTATCAGAGAAATCTTCAAATTAAAATCTGTTCAGTGTTAAATAATTGTCAAAATATATAGTGTTTGAAATTAGCAGTAGTCCGCGAAAAAAAAATCTTGCGACAAATGAAGTATCTTATATTATGTTTTAATAAACAAAAGTTAGAAAGAAGAATATTATTTTTTTATAGGTATATGATTTTTATGTGATAAGCCCAATCAGGCATTTTAACCAGTTAAATTATCCTCCAGGTACAGTAGTATACTGGCATGCAAGTATTTCCCATTAGGCATAAAAAAATAGTAGTTACTTAAAAACTATGATTTAATATGCTCATCAACAAAATTATTGATTGTTACACATCAATATTTGGCTTGTCACACAAATTATGGAAGTCGAAATATGTTTTTAATATAGAAAAACTTTAAGTAGTGAGGCCTGATACGGGGTATTGAAATTACCCATTACTCTCTATGAAGGGAAGTGTAGTTTCCATAAATAAAATACAACACATATACAGTAGGGTGAATGTGTCAGTTTACACGCAAAACGCACGTTACACGCTATACGAACGCACGTTACACGCTATACGAACGCACGTTATACGCACGCAAAACGAAACGAAATACGCAGACGCACGCAAAACGATATACGCTAAACGAAATACTCTAAACGATATACGCACGCTAAAAACGCACGCAAAATGAAAACGTTTCTATACCTTTATTAAAACATCGTAATCATTTTAGGGTTTTAACAACTTTAGCTACATGTAGATCATTTAGCGATAAATTTTGATTATCATAGGGGTATAGATCTATATGGTAGCTAGAAATGTATTTTAAACGAGTTTATGTAAGAACTGAAATGCACTCAACCTAGCACCGAAATTAATTTTTGTCACAGCCTCAACAAATGATTTTTAGAAATATTTATAAGCTATCGTGCGCTAATATCGAAAGTAAAAGAGTTAGGATAACGTGTTCCTTTTTATGCGCAATCAAATAAAGAACTATCCCTTGCATTCACTACGTAATCTCTACGTAATAGCGGTATGTCTTAATACCAAATATGAGTCATATCCGCGGAATAGTCCAACATGGCCGACATTGAATTATGCATTGCAAATTTTTATAAATATACAGTGCTAACAATTAAATTCAGATGGATTTATGAGGCATATCTATATATTAAGTGAGGCTGCATCATAAACAATCGAACTATATAATCTTGAGTGTAAAATAAAGGAATAAACTATTTTGACAGAAGTCACGAAAACAGATTAAAAACACAGGATTCTACCACGGATAACATGAAGGGAAATGGATAACATTAAGGGAAAAGCTTCCAGAATCAGGAATGATTAAATTGCTGGCACAATACGTAGATTTAAGTTGATGTCCTGTATGTTTCATTAGGACACCGCATGATTTATCTTGTCTTGTCGCCAGTAAAATCTTCTCAAAACGAAAGTGAAAGTAGAAATAAACAGTTTACTGAAATCCAGTGAAATCACAAAAAAAGGTAAAATTTCTAGGGCATTACAATATATGAGTATATATAAATATTAAGAACGCAATTTTATTTTAGGTCTGAAACAGTAGTCGAGAGGAAAAAAATGAGGAAAATAAGGAAACTGGTGGTGTGAATTGTAAAGTTATTGGATTTACAAAGACAGCGCAACAGAAAATATTTTTCATATCACTTAAAATTGAAATTTATTGACGTGCGCTTAATATGTATTAAAAAGAGGATATTAAATGAGTGTAAGTTCAATGCTGAATTTATTGCACAAGTTGAATAAAATTATATTATGCGACCTCTGGTGAGCATAATATTTACTTTATTCAATGAGTGCAATAAATTCAGTAATGAACTGAACAAATTTAATATAATATTCTATCTAACACATACTAAAAATAAAGACCGTTTAAAGTGAAATCAGAGTCATTTTTCTTTGACGCGCCTATAGTTTAATGCTAACATTTAGCACGTCTTTACACTATGTTTGTATAACGCTAATGACGTCACGTCAAAATATATGCACGGCCTTACAATACCATATTTACGGAGTCGCAAAATCGGCACTGGTGTGTGATAATATAATGCTTAATCACACACCGGTGCCAATTTTGCCACTCCGTAAATATGGTATTGCACATCTGTGCATATAATTGACATGATGTCATTAGCGTTATACAAACATTGTGTAAAGACACACTTTAAATATGCAGCCTGACTGGGACTTGAGCCCGGGACCCCTTGAATACACTGTGTCAAAGCTGACTACCGGCTAAGCTATCAGTCCGCTTGCATACTCCTCCCCTCAATAGTGAACAGTTCTTAGCTGTAGAAATGAAAAAATCAGTTTTACAGTATCCTTTTTGTGATTCCATATACCATGCCAGTAATGGTCCCCTAACAGGGAAGGGAACACTTTACTGATAGTGGATCTGAACACCTCAGTGTCTACATTATAGGACATTTGCCATACCTTTTTTTATTTTTTAATGAAATTTGGTGGATTTTTTTCCATATCAATCAAACAGATGTAATTGTTACTCAATGTTATAGTAATATGTTGCCTTACTAACTTAGTTTCATTTCCTAGGAGGTTATAATATTAGGTAAAATTACCCCCATTTTTAAAGATGTAATGTATTTGCTTAAACAAATAGGCATCATAGAAAATTTACCCTATCTTTCTTCATTGTCAATATAATTCAATGGGGTTTTCTTATTTTAATCAATTAGATGTAGTTGTACTTGATAGTATAACATTATTTGGCTTTACTTGACCAGAAGGTTATAACTAGGTAAACTTACCCAAATTTTCAATGATTTAGTGTGGTAAAGTTATTAATAAGGCATTATAGAAAGTTAGCCATTATTTCTTAATTTTCAATGAAATTTTTTGAGATTTTCTTATATAAGTCAATTTGATGTAGGTATTACTTAATATTATAACACTATGTTGCTTAACTAACTTTGATTCATTTACCATGAGGTTATAATCAGGTAATATTACTCCCATTTTTAATGAATTAGTGTGTAAGCTTGTATAGTTATACATAATAGGAAATAAGCCATAATTTTTTTAATATTCAATGTAATTTATTGAAATATTCTTACTTTAATCAATAAGATATGCTTGTTAATTAATATAATAGATTTATGTTGCACTTATAATTCTGTTGCATGTCCTAGGCTGTTATAATAAGGTAAAAATCCCCATTTTGTAGTGAATTAGTGTTCTATCTTAAGACAGTAAGGTATCTCAGGAAATTTGCAATAACTCTTATATTTTGTAATGAAATTTGGTGGGAATTCCTTACTTTAGTCAATTAGATACGTTTGTTAATTAATATGATAGATTAATGTTCCTCTTATAGCTTTGTTTAAATTCCAAGGCTCTTATAATTAGGTAAAATTTTCATATTTTGTAGTGATTTAGTGCATTTTCTTGGATATTTAGGCATCTTAGGAGATTTGCCATAATTCTCATATTTTGAAATTAAATTTGTTAGGACTACCTTATTTTAGTCATTTAAATATGTTTGTATATTAATATAAAAGATTTATGTTATATAAAAAATTCTGTATCATTTCCTAAGAGGTTAAGTTTAAGGTAAAATTACCCGATGTATCAACATTTTATGTGGCACTGCTTTCTTTAATAGTTGGGGTCCACATGGAATTTACTATAACATTTATATTTTTCATGGACAATTATTGAAATCTTCTTTTTTAAGTCATCTAATGAAAGCTTTTAATTAATAAAGTTTATTTTGATTGCATTATCAATTACATTACTTTTCATAGGGATCTTGTGTTAAGCTCTTTTTAATGAACTGACCTACCTAAATAATGAAGCATAAAATTGATATTGTAGGGAAATTAAAATTACAATCAATTGAAATTGTACAGGTCCCAAAAGATATAAGTATGCAAAATGGGTTTTTGTAAATTTAAATAAATACATAGGTGATATTTAAGTATATTATAGTTAGAATTTTATCAGTTTTGAGGTTATAACTTACTTGAGGGAAGTTAAACAAGTGACTTGGGACTACAGCATACCTAGCTGAGAAAAATCTTCAAAGAATTATATGGTTATATATGGATAGGTTATATACTTTTAAGTTAGCAAAGGGCGACACAGGCTCATCTCGGGTATCTTAAAGGGGTATTATGTTAAGTAATGATTACAGATTGATAAATCTTTAAAGTGATTTTAGATAATATACAGAATAAAAATAAAAAAGCTATATATGTTTATCAAAGTGGGTTATAATATGGACCTCATATAAGATTAAGATATATTTGAGCCGGGTCACGATAAAACCAACATAATAGGTTTGCGACCAGCATTGATCCAGACCTGCCTGCGCATCTGTTGCATCTGTTCACTAACAGTGTCTCTACTTGTTATACAGTTTGTAAGTGAACAGCATGGATCCTGATCGGACTGCATGGATATGCAGGCTGGTCTGGATCCATGCTGGTCGCCATACCACTATGTTGGTTTTGTCGTGACGCGGCTCATTTAACTTTTAACATGTAAACACTGAACTGGATCGGGAAACAAGGATTGACAATTTTATTAAGAATGCTAAAATAATAATTGTAACTGTTTTTTATTGTACATAATAGGAATATTGCTATATCATTGTATTAAATCTCTTTGTTTGATTGGACTGGTTGAAATTCATAGAAATCCCTAATCAAGGTATATTTATTTAACAAAACATATATTTATTAAATATCACAAGTAATAACAATACATCAAATGATGACTGTCAGACAGATCTTGAAACAAAATAAAGGGCTTTAAAAGCCCAGGCCACATACAGAAATAGTAGTCTATGCTTTGATAATGAGCTGACAGATAGGGGAATTTTGTAAAGGGTGGCTTAGCCTGTCTGTTGTGATTAAATGTCTAAAAAGTACATCATGGTATATTTTAGCCACCATAGAATTTATCTAGCAAAAAATCTAGCTATTTTTATTTGTACAAAAATATAGAAATAGTACAATGTATAATTAGTAAAATGTTTACCATACTTGTACAAATAATGAAACTATTAATTAACAAATGTCGGTACAGCCGCGGTACGGTATTTAGAGGGTCATGGGTTCGAGTCCATGTCAGGATGCACTTTTTTCTCACCCTGTGACTAACCCGTCCCTAGATTTGCCACTACTTGCCAGCTATTTCCACTGAAAAGGGTGGCATTAAGTGTAAAAAAGGTGGCATTAACTGGAAAATGACAAAATTCCACTCTTTTTCCACTGTAGTGGCAAAATTGCCACCAAATGCCACTATCCTTTGGTGGCATTTAGGTGGCATTGAGTGGAAATTTGAACATAGACTTTTTTTATGGTGGCAAAAGGGTGGAAATTGGTGAAAAATGAAACTTAGTTTATTTTGAAGGTGGAAAATGAGTGGCTTTTAGTGGAAAAGTGAAACTCTAACTATTTTCTGGGTGGCAAAATAGTGGAAAAAAACTTAGAAAATTTTGTGAATAACTTTTAGTCGAAAAGGGAAACTCTTAACTATTTTCTGGGTTGTATAAAAATTGGTGGAAAAAACTGAGAAATCTAATAATTGTGCATTGCAGGGTTTAAGATTTATTTAAGTCAAAGCTCCAAACTGAAATAAATCTGTTTATTATAAGTTTGTACTCTACCAAAGCATCAAGTGAACTTTTTATCAAAAATATAATTTATTGAAGTTGAACAGTTAGAAAATTTTATCAGAAACTCATATTTCTTAAACATACTAGAATGCCATGAACACAATTCTGATACAAAGTCACTGCCTCACAGTAACGGTATGATAATTCCAGCTGTAAAGTAGCAGGAAAAGACACAGAAATTGGACGTAAAATCACTTTTCCAGGCGTTAAACACATATAATTATGATCAGGAAAAATTAGAAAAGTATGGGGTTACTTAACTTCCCATTTTTTAAGGCGGTACATTTTTTAGGGATGTAAAATTTGACTTTCAAGTCAAAATGTTTATGTTCCATTCTATGCTTGTAAAATAAAATTACGGCTTTTAAAGTGTACTTTGTTCTTTAGTTATAATCTGTACATTAATTAAATAGTTGAAATGTTCTTCTATGCCCAGAAAATGCATATCTCTGCATAAAGTTTGTTGCTTCTTCTATGATATTTAATGTCAATCTTGAATAAAGTTTGACTTTTGTCTTTTCTTCTAATTGACATAATAAATTGTCTCTTCAATATTACTTTAAACTGATATCTGGTGAGTACTAACACTTTTCATGTAATGCTTACAATAATTAAAGTGAAAAATGCAAAGGGCAATAACTCCAAAAGTATGCAAAGAGTTATGGTTCTTAAACACAGCACATTACTCAAAAAGATCTATATCTGTGAAGATTCAAATCAAATTAATATCTCCAGTACTTTTTAAGCTTATGATCAAAACAAAAATTAAGCAAAGAGAAGTAAAAAATGGCAATAAACCCCAAATCATGCAATAAAAAGTTATGGTTCCTTGGCATTGTAACTTCTCATAAATGAGATTTAGTTATATGTGGAGTTTAAAATTATTGTCTCTAACATCTTTTGTGCTATGCTTTCAGAGGCTTTAAATCTATTGTAAAAATTAATGTGTGAAAAGTAAATAAGTCATAATGTCTGATAAATTTCTTACAATCAGGATAAGTAAATACTAGCTAGTAAATACTGCATCCTCTAAGATTTAACAACACAGCATACATCTCAGATCTGATAAAACTACTGCCCTCTTATCTAGTAATCTCTGAATGGGGGTTAATAGTTTACTCATGCTGACCAGAATGTTCCATTTGATTATTTTGGGAGAGGCAACATATTATACATGTTTTTATGTAGAATTTGTCTTAAAATAGCATGCTAAATTATCTTTCAAAAGCTTATTTCTACTCAATCTATTTAGGTATTAGATATAGTTATACATTCAAATGAATGTAAAAAATAAAATGATGGGTTCTATGGTTTTTGGAAAATCCCTCACAATTTAAAATTATAATGGACTGTCCATGCAGTTACACCGTTGTAAAGTTTGAATTCAAAGGAATTGAGGTCAGTTAAAGCTTGCAAACACAAAGGAAATTATTGATATTGTAGCAATTCTGGAGATATTTTGTTTAAAATGTAAGAGTGCATATTTTTGATTTCTCAAAGAAAACATTTAAAGTCTTATTAGTGTGGTAAATATAAATGAGAAGTTTAAACTGAAGTGTGAATGTGTAGACAAGAAGATAAACAGCAGAATCATTCCCAGTCAAAGTTTCAGGTAAACAACTTTTACATACAATAATTATTGTTATTTATGCAGAAACTGTTTAGTTTTTTGACAGTAAAAATATGAAGTGGTATTGTATAAAATTGTGTTTTATATTTGTTTTGTTTGTAACTTGACTAAAAAGAAAGCTGCATGTACAATGTACATATAAAGAATGTAGGAATATAAAGAATGTAGGAAGATCTTCATCATTTCTTAAATACAATATGTTAGAAATTTTAAGTTTGAGAAAAAAATTATAGAAATTAATCAGTAAGTACAATATCATTATGTACAATATTACATCAATCAAACTATAGATAACCTGAGGTAACTATTACTACAACTTTCATGCTATAAACAATTTTCCTTGTGTGTCACATGTGGAGCAGATTAACAGTAACTGATTTATTAGTAAGTTTCATCCTTCATTGTTGTAATTCAGCTTTCATGGTGCAGTAGATAATTATATAACCATAACTAGACAGTCTAGAGTAACATGCTATTAGGAGAATGACAGTTCATAACAGAAACAGCATTAAATAAGAATTATTATTTTGCAGACACAAAGCAATGAGGAGCAGCCTGGAGCAACACATTTGATCTTCAGTGGCTTTACAAAGGTATCTTGTTAATTCAAAGTTATTTTAGAATTAATAGGAAAGAAGTGTCACAGTACCCAATAAGACACTTTTCAGTTCTTGATAAATATAGCTATTAGTCACTATTTACAAACCTACTTTAATTCAAACTCTTTATGACACTTTAATTTGCATTTACATTTTGTTTTACAAATTTTAGAGTTTTTGTACATTTTAGCTTGAAAATTTTATCAAATATTTATCCTGATGAAGGTTCGTTAAGAACTGAAACTGGAAGATTATTAATTACTCAACCTGCACTGGTGTTGATGTGTTGTATTTCTTTATTTCTTTCTTATTTTAAAATTTTAGAGTTGTATACATATACCAAGGTCTTATAAAAGTGTTTCATTTTCTGTCTTTACATATTAGATATTGATAATCATTTTCTGTCTTTACTTATTTGATATTGTTAATCATAATTTAGGACCAAGTGATGGCAGAACTGAAGCCATATGCCTCAAAAGAGAAAGGTACAGCAAAGCTCTTCAGAATGCTATTCAATATAGAAGAGATTAAAGGCCGCTCATTGTTTGGTATGAGGAAAGGGAACAGAGAGTCTGACGCCAGACCTTCTTGTGCAGACAAGGCAAAACTTAAGTTCTTGGAAGGTAACTAATGAACTGAATGAAAATATCATTTTTGATTCTGCGTATATTTTCTGCCTTGGAGTAAATAAGAAAAGTCTGATTCTTCCCCGTCTGCAGTGCTGTTTTTTAAAGTGTTTTAATCATATCTATGCACTCAAATTGAATATAGAAATATCCAATAGTCATATAAAATTGTAAGCTTATGTTTTTAATTATTGTTTTAATCATTCATAATTTTTTTTGTTTTAGATTGTGCGCTCGAAAAGTTGCCGACAACCTAAAGGACTGAACTCAAACCGTCCAGGAATAGCAAGATAAACTGAAGAAAATAAATGGACTAATGTTTTGCTATTTTTTGAGACAATATATAATTTCATATGGGAACATTAAAAAGGATTATTTTTAAAATTTGTTTGTTTCCAATTTAGGGTACAGGGTGACTTTCAAGAAGTTTCCAGCTATTGCCACCCACAAGGTGGAAAATTTCTGAAAGGGTGAAAATAGGTGGCATTTAGTGGAAACTGAATTTGCCACTATCTGGTGGCAAAATGGTGGAAAAGTGTCTAAATACTCCACCAATTTTCCACCCTTATGGTGGCAAAAGGTGGAAATAAGTGGCATTTGGTGGAAAATAAGTTTGCCACTCAATGGTGGCATAATGGTGGAAATTTGTCTAAATACTCCACCAATTTTCCACCATTATGGTGGCAATAAGTGGAAACAAGTGGCATCTAGTGGAAAATGAGTTTGCCACCCTAAGGTGGCATAATGGTGGCATTATGGTGAAAGTTTGTCAAATTACTCCACCAATTTTCCACTCATTGGTGGCATTTAGTGTCAAAAAGGTGGAATTAACTGGAAAATTATATAACATCAGTCCTGCTCAAATTTTTCACCATTTTCATGATTTGGGTGGCGTTTTGGTGGCGTTTTGGTGGCATTATTGGTGGAAAATTGTCTAAATACTCCACCCTTGAAAAGGGTGGCATTTTAGTGGCAAATCTAGGGACGGGAATATAACATTTGTATAGCCCAGGTAGAAATTAAATCACAATGCTAAGTAACCCTGGGAAATTCGAAGAAATATTTGCATACACAGTAGGTTTATAACGATTCAGAATTTTAACAAGTAAAATGTGTAATAATAAGCGGCCGAATAGCTCGGAGGAACTCAAGAGCCGCGGAATGGTATTCCGAGTGTCAGGGGTTCGAGTCCCTGCCAGGCTGTTACATATCAATATAAATTTGTCAAGAAAAATAGGGAGGAATTGTCTAAAATAATTATCACCCTAAATAGGATTCGGATCGGGTTCGGACAGTCGTTGATGAAAAGTCAGAAGATGAACTTGTAAAGGGGGTGGGGTGCTAGTCTGATTACCATCATTTGATGTCTGACGAACCTCATATCTAGTATATATTGGTACGCATATAACGACCTGTTTGCTGAATTTAATATCAAAAATGTTGCAATTAATTAGTAACTAAATCTTATATGCGTATGTAAACTAGGATTAAAAATAATTAATCTCCGGCGTAAAGCATGTAGAAAACCGCGAGGTCACAAACTTTAAAACTTTAATGTAAACATCACAATAATACTTCTTTATATAATATTTCTATTCTTTGACAGGGACACGGAACATCTCTTACATGTTTAAGAAACAAGAAATTTACATAATATATCTATCTAAGATATTCTTTTACTTCTGAAAAGTAAAAGACGCAAAACACGGTACTTAAGCGCTTAGACGAACGCATACGCACGCTAAATAAGAAACGCACGCTTTCAAACGCACGATAAACGAAAAACGATACACGAAAAACGTTAAACGCTTGAAAACGATGCACGCTTGAGAAAGCGTTTCGGCAAACGCACGTTGCACGCTATCAGACTTCCCGAAAGTTGAAAAAAACTGTCAGACATTCGGTCTGACAAACCATGAAAATCTGTCGGACCGAAACGAAATCTGTCGGACCAAATAAAATTGATCAAAATCAAAGATTGACTTGTGTTTGTATTTCTAAGACACTTTTTGTTTTTATTTTTTTCGCCGTAAAAATCGGCACATTCCTTACAGCGCATTTTCATCTCCTCCCTATCATACACCAACGATTCACTGTCTTGCTTCTACTTTTCATTAAATTTTGTCTCAGGTCTATTCTTTTTATCCTTTTACTGCTGTTTTGCCTGTTCCTCTGACGTAGATTTTTTATTTTTCCGAGGTTTGGCACCTTTAGCGACGCCATTTTGTATACATGCGGCTTGGATAAAAGCCGGACAGTCGGACCGATTCGGAATAAAAACTCGTCGGACCTGATCAAAATTTATCGGACATGTCCGTCGGACCGACGTATTTCGGGAAGTCTGCGCTATACGCACGCACGTTACACGAAAAACGGACGCACGAAAAACGCTATTTTTGACAACCGAAACGTTCACCCTACTGTAATAATAATACAATGTTTTAATATCTGTCGTATTTTTCATTTAAAATCTATGAAGAAACCCGGGTGAGGGGACTGATGCCAGACCTTTCACTCCCAAGGCTTTTTATATGCCCGAAAGGGCATATTATGTTATACCCCCTGGCGTCCGTCCGTCCGTCCGTTAGCAATTTGTCCGTTAGCAATTTGGTTTCCGGAGCATAACTTAAGTTCCATTTGGCCCCCAATGTTCAAACTTCATAGGATGATTGTCCATATTGGGTACAAGACCCCTATTGATTTTGGGGTCAAAAGGTCAAAGGTCAAGGTCACTATTACCTTAAAACTGAAAACAATTTCCGGAGCCTAACTTAAGTTCCATTTGACCCACAATAATCAAACTTCATAGGATGATTGTCCATATTGGGTAGAAGACCCCTATTGATTTTGGGGTCAAAGGTCAAGGTCACTATTACCTTGATACTGAAAATAGTTTCCGTCTGTTAGCAATTTGTCCGTTAGCAATTTGGTTTCCGGAGCATAACTTAAGTCCCATTTGGCCCACAATGTTCAAACTTCATAGGATGATTGTCCATATTGGGTAGAAGACCCCTATTGATTTTGGGGTCACAAGGTCAAAGGTCAAGGTCACTATTACCTTAAAACTGAAAACAGTTTCTGGAGCATAACTTAAGTTCCATTTGACCCACAATGTTCAAACTTCATAGGATCATTGTCCATGTTGGGTAGAAGACCCCTATTGATTTTGGGGTCACAAGGTCAAAGGTCAAGGTCACTATTACCTTAAAACTGAAAACAGTTTCCGGAGCATAACTTAAGTTCCATTTGACCCACAATGTTCAAACTTCATAGGATCATTGTCCATGTTGGGTAGAAGACCCCTATTGATTTTGGGGTCACAAGGTCAAAGGTCAAGGTCACTATTACCTTGAAACTGAAAACAGTTTCCGGATCATAACTTAAGTCCATTTGACCCACAATGTTCAAACTTCATAGGATGATTGTTCATATTGGGTAGAAGACCCCTATTGATTTTGGGGTCACAAGGTCAAAGGTCAAGGTCACTATTACCTTGATACAGAAAACAGTTTCCGGAGCATAACTTAAGTTCCATTTGACTCACAATGTTCAAACTTCATAAGTTAATTGTCCATATAAGGTAGAAGACCCCTATTGATTTTGGGGTCAAAAGGTCAAAGGTCAAGTCACTATTACCTTGATACTGAAAACAGTTTCCGGAGCATAACTTAAGTTCCATTTGACCCACATATTCAAACTTCATAGGATGATTGTCCATATAAGGTAGAAGACCCCTATTGATTTTAGGGTCACAAGGTCAAAGGTTAAGGTTAAGGACTTAAGTATTAATCAACCTACATCTGTAAAATTTTATAGGATGAACAGCTAATTCCCATGTCTAATGAATGCTTCATCCTTACTAAAAAAAAAACACTTTCGGGCATATAATGCTCCGCCTAGCGGTGCTCTTGTTACTATTGTGAGGTTTTACTCCCAAGACGGTTCACTCCCAAGAAGGTTCACTACCAAGATGTTTAACTCCCAAGACGGTTCACTCCCAAGATGTTTAACTCCCAATTATTTTCATTCGTTTTTTCAAAGTTTTGTCTTCCTTCACTGTGTACAATATTTGATTAGTCAAGCGTGCTGTCTCCTCCGAAAACTCTTGTTAATTGTATTCATAGTTTGAGTGTATGAATTTGTTTTTCTTTTTTCAAGAACTGCTACTTGTGACCATAGCAACAGAAGAAAATGATGGTTTAAGAAGATATATAAGAAGTACAAAGAAGTATGACTTGGAAACAAAGGTAAATTCATTATAACATTCTATATTTATTATATAAGATAAATGTATATCAAGTAAAGTAAGAATAGTTTAATTGTTTATAATATATAAGTAATAATAAACTAATTGTTTCATGCTTTGTGTAGTATATCCAGAAACACACATATGTCATTCATGAAAACTTAACAAACATTTTGTATATGACTCAGTTATATTTGATGTGGGTTTTTTTATATACATGTATGACAATTATACAACAAAGACCAAAGATTTTCTATTTTAAGTATAACTAACTATTGCTGGTATGCTGTGAATTTTAAGTATTATGTACTGTTACGTTAGCTATAGTACACTATACAGTGAAGATTTTGTACATGTCCAGTATAAAATAAACTTGTGGGGGTCAAACCCAATCTAGGACAAGCTGTTGCTTTTCTTGAACAAGAGGCTTTACACTCATTGCTAGTACTGGGTGATTCCAGGAAATGGATTTGAGAGTGTTTCAATAAGCTTATAGCTTCCAGCACAATCAAACTAAATTTAATTTGTATAATTTAACTTAAATAGCGATACATTGATGAACTTATAATAAGTCTTATTAATTCAATATGTAATAAATTTAATTTGCAAAAGAATAACCAATATTTTATATTTTCCTGTTCTGATACTGATCATAAAAGCTATGAAAGAGCTAAGAAGCCCCCTTTAAGCCATATGTACATATCTTTTTCGATGAAGTCACACATAATGACATAAATCTTAAGCTGTACCTTAAGGATTAAATAATTTTTGTTTTTTTTGTTTTGTTTTGGGTTTTACGTCACATCGACACAGTATAGGTCATATCGCGACGTTCCGGCTTTACTGGTGGAGGAAGACCTCAGGTGCCCTTCCGTGCATTATTTCAGGCACTAACGGGCACCTGAGTAGAACCACCGACGTTCCGTAAGCTAGCTGGATAGCTTCCTCACATGAAAGAATCCAAAGTCCCTGTCGGAATTCGAACCCACAGCGGTGAGGGGCAAGTGGTTTGAAGTCAACGACCTTAACCACTCGGCCACGGACGCCCCTTAGGATTAAATAAAATCGAGAATTTTTTCCCGAATAATAAAGTGTACCAGTCTATAGTTTATATTATAAGTTGTATATGTCTGGTATTGTCATTCTTAAGTTTATGTAAAGAGGTCAGAAATTAATAATAGATTTATCAAAGGAATTTGATATTTCAGAATTTGCTCTGTTGTATATGAGATAAGAAATAATTGTGAGCTATTATTTCTCTGCAGGTTTTTGGTTTAGGTTTAGATTGGCGTGGCGGGGACATGACCAACACTGGCGGGGGTCATAAGATCAATATATTGAAAGAAGAACTGTCCCAGTATAAAGACAGAAGTGACTTGATTCTTATGTTTACAGACAGGTATATATGTATATATCTTTAATATAATTCAGTGATATGTTGAAAAGTTAAACTGATAAAATTGTACAGACAGGTAAATATGTATATATCTTTAATATAATTCAGTCATATGTTGACAAGTTAAACTGATAAAATTGTACAGACAGATGGTATGTTTAAAATATGTTGTATTTACATGAATACTTTTCTTGTTCTACTTGTAAAATCCTAAAACAATCTGATCATGAAGTTGTTGACATTATTTACTGATTTATAAGTTAAAGTTCAAGTTTCCTTGACTGTTCCAGTAATTCTGGATAAAGTGGATATCTTTACGTGTCAGAAAGGTTGTGGAATCACAATTACTTAAGTTATCTGTTTGTTGATACTTTAATAATAATCATATGGTAATAGCTGGTAATTGATTGGCATCTTTGTTATTAAGGAATGATTGTCAGGTTGAAAATTGTTAAAAGTTTTTTAAAATATGGTTACCGAAACACACCCCAGACACATAGGAACTTTGTTACCTGGAACATATAGGAACTTATTTACCTGAAACCCATAGGAACTTGGTTACCCAGAACAAATAGAAACTTGGTTTCACAGAACAAATAGAAACTTGGTTTCACAGAACAAATGGAACTTGGCTTCACAGAACAAATAGGAACTTGGTTTCACAGAACAAATGGGAATTTGGTTACCCAGAACAAATAGGAACTTGGTTACCCAGAACAAATAGGAACATGGTTACCTGGAATAAATATGAACTTGGTTACCAGAAGGGTTTCTTAATCGGACAAAAATCATAATCGATAATTGAAAATAATCAAACAACCCTTTTCGATCAATCATCGATTATATAATCGAAGCATTTACATTAACAAAGTAATTGTATACATGCACATATCATGCTTTTATATTTACAAGTAATCCATTAGTATTCTGTATTTTATGTTACTATACTACTTTATCAGCTGAAATACACTACTTTAAAGATCCTTGAGTATAATATTTTAATGAAATAAATTAATTAAAATCTATGAAATTATTATGTCTCAGTTTGAATAAAGATAAACTTGATACTTTTGAAGATGCAACCTATTATGGGGACAAGTAACTTGGTCCTTTCTTAACAAAATTTTCAGGATATTTTTAATGTCAGTATATATTCATATTGTAGCCCCTATAGTGTGTAGAATAATTTCATACATAACATATCTTTTTTGTGTGTAGTCAAATCATGTTTATTTTATATTTACAAAGAGATCATAATATTTTTCTAATGTCAAATTTGAACATAGTAGATCTATATCTTTAAAATTTGAATGTCTCATTGTCAACTATTAACTCCATGGTCACCAGTAGCCACCAGTATGCTTTCATATTCATTTCAATGAAAAATTATACAGTAAACCTAAGCTGGCTTTAATTTAGAGTGTTGTTATAATACAGTGAGCCACTTAAAGTAACAGCGAGAAAATAGATTACTAATGATCGATTATTAAACTTGTAATCGATCATCGTCATCAATTCCTATAAACGATGAATTTTTGATTATTATTCGATCATCGCTTAATCCTTAGTTACCAGAACAAATAGGAACTTGGTTACCTGGAACACGTAGGAACTTGGTTATATAGACACACAGAAACCTGAAATGATGATATTTTCACTTGACTTGATTTTCGCGAATATTTCAATGTCACAAATTTACAACTCCCAATATTCAATGGTGGGGAAATTGATTTAATTGCTAAAAAAACCCAGAAGAAATAGATAGTTAGGGTAATTTGCTTGTAACTAAGTACTCCCCCCCCCCCACCCCCCATCTTTTTTTTGAAAAAAACTAAAATAGGATACCCAAAATGCATGTTAAATGCTTTTGAGTATTATAAATAAATACAAAACATTTCTGATGCATAATGAGCCTTTAAGGTAATTACATATATAATATATTTGATCATTTTGTTTGTTTAGTTATGATGTTGTTGTCACAGCTGGAGCATCAGAGATTCTAGAAAAGTTCAACAAGTTTGATGCACGTGTAGTTTTCTCTGCTGAAGGATTTTGTTGGCCGGACAGGTCATTAGCGGTAATAATTACTGTTTTATACCTTTAACTTGGTGACGGAATCTAACCATTGTGACCAGTGTAGACCATTGATGCTAGCTCATTGTTGATTCTATTTTAATCTAACTAAAATACCATTTTAATCTAACTAAAATACCATTTTAATCTAACTAAAATACCATTTTAATCTAACTAAAATACCATTTTAATCTAAAATAAAATAAACCATTTTAATCTAAAACAAAATACATTTTTTTCTAAAAAAAAAACTATAATTTGGGCCGGGTTGCCCCTGGTTTCAAAAACCCCGGGTTAAAAAAAGGGATGGTGAAAAAATTTTCCGGGGGGGGTCGGGCCCCCCCCCAAGGAAAAGGCGGGCGGGGAAAAAATATTTTTCGTAAACAGTTTCCTCAGCAAAATAAATTAAACATAACCCCTTTATTAAATTTTGGGATTTTCCAAAACCCTTTACAACAATTTTGGGCCCTTACCGTGGGATTCGATTTCAGGCCTGTCGCTTCATCCACTTTTCCGGTTTTTTCAACTTTTTTGGGTTTAAAATTTTGTTAGGGAAATTTTTACAAATTTAAAGGTTTTAAATTTTGGAAATTTTTTCCCCTTAAAAAGGGTTTTTTCTCAGCAAAAATAAATAAAAAACAAACAGGGCCCCCTTTGGAAATAATTTGGCCAAAAAACCCCGCCAATTTTAAAAACCATTTGGGCCCATCTGGGGAAATTTGGATTTCAGGGGTTTTTTCGCCCCCAAAACCACCCTTCCCCTGTTTTATCCACTTAATTTTTAATTTGGGTTTTTTGAAAATTTTCCCCACTTAAGGTCAATGGTGGAAATTTTCCCCCTAAAAGTTTTCCCCCAAACAAACTACCCTTAAAACACAAATCTCTTTGATATTTGGCCCCTTTCAGCATTTACACATTTCCCAACCGTGGAAAATGATTTCAGGTTTTGTCCCCTCATTTCCCCTTTCCCGTTTATCCCCCTTATTAAAAAATTTGGTTTGATTTTTTTGACATTAATGGTCAATTTGGGAGGGAAAAAATTCGTAACCCGTTTTCTCAGGGAAATACTTAAACACAGCCTCTTGATATTTGGCATGCAGCATTGACACATGGTCCCATACTGTGGGATTTGATTTCAAGTCTGCAGCTCATCCACTTCACATTAATGGTCAATGGTAGGAAATTTTCGTAACATTTTTCTCAGAAACTACTAATCACAGCCTCTTGATATTTGGCATACAGCATTGACACATGGTCCCATACTGTGGGATTAGATTTTAGGTGTGTAGCTTATCCACTGTCTTCCTGTTTACCTACTGAATTAAATTTTTCAACATTAATGGGTCAATGGAAAATTTTTTTTGTAACATCACAGCCTCATGATATTTGGTGTACAAATGGAACCCGGCCTTTTCTGTCTTTGACCCATTTTTATCTAACTAAAATACCATTTTAATCTAACTAAAATACCATTTTAATCTAACTAAAATACTAGTAAATATAAGCCATGTAGGGGGTGTTAGCATCAAAATGATATCTGGAAGAATCTCTAAATAACATAAGGGATGTTGGCATCAAAGTATATTGTACAGTTGATTAGGCTTACTTTACTGGAAGCATACACAAATTTGTTCACATTGAATAGATAGTAACTGTAAAGTAATTTTGATAATGAATGAATATTTTCCATTGGCAACAATCAGACTCTATTTTCAATAATTTATAGAAAATTCATGTTTTATTCCATTTATTCATTCCTTTAAGGTAAAAAGTCTTCATTTGTTTTAGAAAAATGACAATTGAATAGTTTAGTTTAATATTTTAATGAAATTTTTGATGCAAACAAACAAATTGGCCCCCGACAGATTGGCCCCAAGTCGAAACAGCCCCAAAGATAGTCAAATCAGAAACATATATGTCAAATCGGCCTCAGTACATTTTCAAGAAGTCAAATCAGCCGTATATCAGTCAATTTTGCCCCAAAATTAGTCAAATCGGCACTAGAATTACTTTTGTGAAACATCCTATTTCATGTTTATAATTTATGTCAGACAACAAAATTTCAAAAAAAGAAAAAAAAGATTTGATCTGAATTTAGTTCTTCTTCTTTTGTAACTAAATACTTGAAAAACTAAGGGAGATTATAGAAATTAATATCAGAATGAAACTTTTTTTCTTGCAAATAAAATGACAACTTTTGTTATTACAAAATGATATAATACTATGAACCATAAAGGGTTTGGAAGAATATATCTGTATTTTCATGTAACTAATTAACTAAAGTTTTCAAAATATTTTTATTGTTTGTCAAATAATTCATCTTATGACATATTTCTACTGTTGTATTAAGTGCCACCCAGCAAATGTTGTTTAAGTGTTAATAAAGAACATATGACAGTGTCACAATCAGATATAAGTTTATTTATAAAGGAGAATAAATTATTGTATATAATAATTATATGATTAAGATCTTGTCACATTAAGAGATCAACATGTGTTAATATTTACACTGACCATCTCTTCCTGACTGCATGCTGATACAGTTATACATGTTTTAGATTAACCTGGTGAATATTGATAATGTATTTACCCAGCTGTTAGTTCAATACATGTATTTAAAGTAGATTGGTCTATAAAAGACAGTTTTTCCCTACATACCGGTATTTTAAATATAAAACTATAGAAAAGTATCATTTGGATATTCTTACAAAATATTTCTTGAACTATTTATAGAATATCAGAAAAGAATTAAGAGTAACAATAATTCCCAACCTGATTGGTTAAGATAATTTATTAATGTATACTTTGTTTATCAGGATGAAAAATTCTTCTTGAACAAAGAAATGTTTTGTTGGTATGAATATTTATATGATGAATATTAATATTATGTTATAGAACAATTAATCATCTGCTATATATATGAATATGTAATATACAGTCATATATCTCACACCAGTACCTATAACATCCTAATATATTTAATTTGTGGTTTGTTGTCATGTATGGTATCAGATACCAACAACACAACAATGTAATTCATGGTATTACATATTATCAATTATGGACCAATTCCCTTTAAAAGGGATTTCAGTTAAGCTTTAACAATGCTTCAAATTATTCTCCTATAAAACATACATGTATATGACAGCCAATTCCCTTTATAGGGATTTCAGTATAGCTCTAACAATGCTTCAAATTATTCTCCTATAAAACATACATGTATATGACAGCCAATTCCCTTTAAAAGGATTTCAGTATAGCTCTAACAATGCTTCAAATTATTCTGCTATAAAACATACATGTATATGACAGCCAATTCCCTTTAAAGGGATTTCAGTATAGCTCTAACAATGCTTCAAATTATTCTCCTATAAAACATACATGTATATGACAGCCAATTCCCTTTAAAGGGATTTCAGTATAGCTCTAACAATGCTTCAAATTATTCTCCTCAAAACATACATGTATATGACAGCCAATTCCCTTTAAAAGGATTTCAGTATATCTGTAACAATGCTTCAAATTATTCTCCTATAAAACATACATGTATATGACAGCCAATTCCCTTTAAAGGGATTTCAGTATATCTGTAACAATGCTTCAAATTATTCTCCTATAAAACATACATGTATATGACAGCCAAATTCCCTTTAAAAGGATTTCAGTATAGCTCTAACAATGCTTCAAATTATTCTCCTATAAAACATACATGTATATGACAGCCAATTCCCTTTAAAAGGGATTTCAGTATAGCTTTAACAATGCTTCAAATTATTCTCCTATAAAACATTCATGCAGGGCTCGCGCTGGCAGGAGCCAATGAGCAAATTGGCCCCAAAATTATTAAATTGGCTCAAGAAAATCATGATTGGCTCCAACTTAAGAAAAATATAACTTTTGGAATATCCAGTCTAAATTTAGCATTTGCTATTTTAAGAATGGAAAAGTACACATTTGGTTTTCCATTTACAACTTCCGCTTTACCGCTTACTGGTACACAGTCTCATTTTTGTGGGGTCATTGACTGGTCTATATTTGTTACTTCCCTTCCAAATAAAATAACGTTTATAAACAGTAACACAGTCTAATACACTGACCTCATGGTATGTTTACATGTTTATCAGCTGATAAATATGACACTAATTGGTGTGAATTGTTGAATGTGCACTGGATAATTGGTCTTTATATTCAATATGAAAACAATAACTAGCAGCATCTTAAGATTATCGCCAATCATGTCAACAGTTTGGTTATGAAATGGACGACTTTACGGTAAGTTTGCATTCATATAATTTTATTGTTGTTGATAAAAAGATCAAAGGAATTATGAGTTATAGAATAGAAGTTGGTTTTTTTTAATTGCAAATTAAATCTGACCTAATAATGGCTCCAAAAAAGCATAAATTTGACAAGAAGTATATTTGACAATTAGTATTCCTGAAAAAAAAATTGACTTTACTTTGTACATAACCTCTATCTGGAGCATTCATTTACAAATGGCATACATGGCTGTGAAATGTTTATGGAAAATTCAAGAAGCATATAACATATTTTAGGAAACTTATGCTAATTACTGTACTCTTATAATGAATAGTTGGCATTTTTTTCCTGAATTATGTTTAGTTTAGAATTATTCTTTTCTTCATTAATAATTATTCTTCTTACTCTCAAATGTTTCTGTTTTTATAATTTCAGATACAGATAGTCCTCAAACCAAATCTTTGGCATTAACCAAGCAAGCTGAAGCAGCACATTGGAATGTGGTTCTGATGTCACTGTCATGCCACTAACTTGGATTTTATGAAAACATTGCTGACCAAATTAGCCTGGAAAATGTTATTCTTATAGCTACTGAGCTGCAAGCTTTTATGATCAGTTTTAAAGTGATTAAAATGTAGCTACCAAAATAAAGTTGGATATACATGTAGTTTATGTTTTTTTTAAATATCTCATGCCTTTTTAAGGTGTTCCATATATGAACTAATGCTATAAATAAGTCTGACAATTGAATTCTGGTTATTTTGCAGTACCATTGCCTTCTTGAAAATGAAATACAGGCACGCAATTTTCGCCGCGAAAAATTGGCTCAAAGAAAAAAATCTGCCAGTGCTAGCCCTGTTCATGTATATGACAACCAATTCCCTTTAAAGGTATTTCAGTATAGCTTTAACAATGCTTCAAATTATTCTCCTATAAAACATACATATATATGACAGCCAATTCCCTTTAAGGGATTTCAGTATATCTCTGACAATGCTTCAAATTATTCTCCTATAAAACATTCATGTATATGACAACCAATTCCCTTTAAAGGTATTTCAGTATAGCTTTAACAATGCTTCAAATTATTCTCCTATAAAACATACATGTATATGACAGCCAATTCCCTTTAAAGGGATTTCAGTATAGCTCTAACAATGCTTCAAATTATTCTCCTATAAAACATACATGTATATGACAGCCAATTCCCTTTAAAGGGATTTCAGTATAGCTTTAACAATGCTTCAAATTATTCTCCTATAAAACATACATGTATATGACAGCCAATTCCCTTTAAAGGGATTTCAGTATAGCTCTAACAATGCTTCAAATTATTCTCCTATAAAACATTCATGTATATGACAGCCAATTCCCTTTAAAGGGATTTCAGTATAGCTCTAACAATGCTTCAAATTATTCTCCTATAAAACATACATGTATATGACAGCCAATTCCCTTTAAAGGGATTTCAGTATAGCTCTAACAATGCTTCAAATTATTCTCCTATAAAACATACATGTATATGACAGCCAATTCCCTCTAAAGGGATTTCAGTATAGCTCTAACAATGCTTCAAATTATTCTCCTATAAAACGTGCATGTATATAACAGCCAATTCCCTTGAAAGGGATTTCAGTATAGCTCTAACAATGCTTCAAATTATTCTCGTATAAAACATGCATGTATATAACAGCCAATTCCCTTTAAAGGGATTTCAGTATAGCTTTAACAATGCTTCAAATTATTCTCCTATAAAACATACATGTATATGACAGCCAATTCCCTTTAAAGGGATTTTAGTATAGCTTTAACAATGCTTCAAAATATTCTCCTATAAAACATACATGTATATGACAGTCAATTCCCTTTAAAGGGATTTCAGTATAGCTCTAACAATGCTTCAAATTATTCTCCTTTAAAACATAGATGTATATGACAGCCAATTCCCTTTAAAGGGATTTCAGTATAGCTCTAACAATGCTTCAAATTATTCTCCTATAAAACATACATGTATATGTCAGCCAATTTCCTTTAAAGGGATTTCAGTATAGCTTTAACAATGCTTCAAATTATTCTCCTATAAAACATGCATGTATATGACAGCCAATTCCCTTTAAAGGGATTTCAGTATAGCTCTAACAATGCTTCAAATTATTCTCCTATAAAACATACATGTATATGACAGCCAATTCCCTTTAAAGGGATTTCAGTATAGCTTTAACAATGCTTCAAATAATTCTCCTATAAAACATTCATGTATATGACAACCAATTCCCTTTAAAGGGATTTCAGTATAGCTTTAACATTGCTTAAAATTATTCTCCTATAAAACATACAAGTATATGACAGGCAATTCCCTTTAAAGGGATTTCAGTATAGCTCTAACAATGCTTCAAATTATTCTCCTATAAAACATACATGTATATGACAGCCAATTCCCTTTAAAGGGATTTCAGTATAGCTCTAACAATGCTTCAAATTATTCTCCTATAAAACATACATGTATATGACAGCCAATTCCCTTTAAAGGGATTTCAGTATATCTCTAACAATGCTTCAAATTATTCTCTCCTATAAAACATACATGTATATGACAGCCAATTCCCTTTAAAGGGATTTCAGTATAGCTCTAACAATGCTTCAAATTATTCTCCTATAAAACATACATGTATATGACAGCCAATTCCCTTTAAAGGGATTTCAGTATAGCTCTAACAATGCTTCAAATTATTCTCCTATAAAACATACATGTATATGACAGCCAATTCCCTTTAAAGGGATTTCAGTATAGCTCTAACAATGCTTCAAATTATTCTCCTATAAAACATACATGTATATGACAGCCAATTCCCTTTAAAGGGATTTCAGTATAGCTCTAACAATGCTTCAAATTATTCTCCTATAAAACATTCATGTATATGACAACCAATTCCCTTTAAAGGGATTTCAGTATAGCTTTAACATTGCTTAAAATTATTCTCCTATAAAACATACAAGTATATGACAGGCAATTCCCTTTAAAGGGATTTCAGTATAGCTCTAACAATGCTTAAAATTATTCTCCTATAAAACATACATGTATATGACAGCCAATTCCCTTTAAAGGGATTTCAGTATAGCTCTAACAATGCTTCAAATTATTCTCCTATAAAACATACATGTATATGACAGCCAATTCCCTTTAAAGGGATTTCAGTATAGCTCTAACAATGCTTCAAATTATTCTCCTATAAAACATACAAGTATATGACAGGCAATTCCCTTTAAAGGGATTTCAGTATAGCTCTAACAATGCTTCAAATTATTCTCCTATAAAACATACATGTATATGACAGCCAATTCCCTTTAAAGGGATTTCAGTATAGCTCTAACAATGCTTCAAATTATTCTCCTATAAAACATACATGTATATGACAGCCAATTCCCTTTAAAGGGATTTCAGTATAGCTTTAACAATGCTTCAAATTATTCTCCTATAAAACATACATGTATATGACAACCAATTCCCTTTAAAGGGATTTCAGTATAGCTCTAACAATGCTTCAAATTATTCTCCTATAAAACATACATGTATATGACAGTACAGTGTATTATTATACAAAATATGAAGGAATATTCTCATGTCATATGATGTCATATACGATGTTAATTAACCCAATGATCGATATAAGAAAAAATTCCAGTTTCCTTCTATGCACCATGCTACAATATAGGGAACAAACTAGTTAATCACCCCTCAATACAACATCTGAATTTGCAATCTTCAGACAACACAGTATCACTGGTTGCTCTTTGTTTTGGCATCATAGTATTATATTGCATGATTTATGGTCTAAATGCTTTTATTAAAGCCTTTGAACCGCCTGCGTGGTCGAAGGGTTAGAGTTGATGACTTCTTATCCAGTTACCTCTCTGGCCTGGGGTTCTATCCCTTGGAGATGCTTTGGTAGTTTAGCGCCGAGGAAGGTAGTCTAGTACTGTTGTAACTCTCCAGGAATGATGGTTAGGAAACTACCCGCCTTTATGACTGACATACTGTTGGGAAAAGGCGTAAAATGAAACAAACAAACAATTAAAGCCTTTGAGATTATATTACTGTGAATTTTAACTTTAATCATGCATTATTATACAGCAACACACTCAAAAGTGATATCTATTTATTAAACAACTCACTCAAAATTTTTATTTCCTAAACAAAGCATTCATAATTGATATCCGTTTGCTAAACAAAGTGGAATATATTTAAAACAAGTTTATCGCTCTTGTTTAAATAAATTAATGATAACAAAACATTGATATCATATGAGATATTACCTGTAAGTTTTGTATAAGCATTAAAATGTTTTCTTTTGTTTTGTTTATAGAGCTCGTATCCTGATGTGAAATTACATGAGAAGAAGTATCTTTGTTCAGGAGGTTTGTTCTTTATCTAAATTGTTTTTAATTCTTTTTAATTTATTTGATTTAATTTCTTTTCATTTTTGGCCGGGTTGCACTGGTGCAAACCCGGGTTATAGTATGGTGAATGTTGGGCGGCGGGCGGGCGGGGAAAAAACTTTCGTAACAGTTTTCTCAGCAACTATTTATCACAGCCTTTTGATATTTGGTATACAGCATCAACACATGGTCCCATACTGTGGGATTCGATTTCAGGTCTGTCGCTCATCTACTTCCTGTTTGCCGACCTAGTTAAATTTTCAGCATTAATGGTCAATAGTAGGAAATTTCGTTTAATGCTGGTCAATAGTAGGAAATTTTCGTAACAGTTTTCTCAGCAACTACTTATCACAGCCTTTTGATATTTGGTATACAGCATCAACACATGGTCCCATACTGTGGGATTCGATTTCAGGTCTGTCGCTCATCTACTTCCTGTTTGCTGACCTAGTTAAATTTTCAGCATTAATGGTCCATAGTAGGAAATTTTCATAACAGTTTCTCAGCAACTACTTATCACAGCCTTTTTATATTTGGTATACAGCATCAACACATAGTCCCATACCGTGGGATTCCATTTCAGGTCTGTTGCTAATCTACTCCTGTTTGCCGACCTAGTTAAATTTTCAACATTAATGGTCAATGGTAGGAAATTTTCGTAACAGTTTTCTCAGCAGCTACTTATCACAGCCTCTTGATATTTGGTATACAGCATCAAAACATGGTCCCATACTGTGGGATTTGATTTCAGGTCTGTCGCTCATCCACTTCCTGTTTGCCGACTTAGTTAAATTTTCTACATTAATGCTCAATGGTAGGAAATTTTCGTTCATAACAGTTTTCTCAGCAACTACTTATCACAGCCTCTTGATATTTGGCATACAGCATTAACATATGGTCCCATACCGTGGGATTCGATTTCAAGTCTGTTGCTCATCCACTTCCTGTTTGCCGACTTTTTTCTACATTTATGGTCAATGGCAGGAAATTTTCGTTACAGTTTTCTTGGCAACTACTTATCACAGCCTCTTGATATTTGATATACAGCATTATCAAGTGGTCCTATACAGTGGGATTTGATTTCAGGTCTGTTGCTCATCCACTTCCTGTTTGCCCACTTAGTTAAATTTTGACATAATTAATGATCAATAGATAGTAGAAAATTTTCATAACAGTTTTTGTCAGCAACTACTTACCACAGCTTCTTGATATGTGATTCACAGCATTGACATGTGGTCCCATATTGTGGGATTCCATTTCAGGTCTGATGCTCATTCTTTTTCGGTTAACCAACTAAGTTAAATTTTCAACATCAATGGTCAAGAAAGTTGTAGAAAATTTAAGTAACATCACAGCCTCATGATATTTTGTATACATATGCAACCCGGCCTTTTTCTGTCTTTGACCCATTTTTTATATAAATTTATGCACTCCTGTATATTGTGTTTATGTATAAATATAATTATAGTATTTAGCATAATTAACAAATCAGGTAGGTAATACCATTTACAATATACATGTAGGCTCACATAACATATCAATTTATTATGCTCCCCAAAGGGAGAGCATATAGTCGCCACCTTGTCCGTCTGTCCGTTCATTGTCTTGTCCGGAGCATAACTTGAAAACCCTTGGAGATAATTTGTTTAAACTTCATACAGTGGTAGAGTGCATTGAAGGGGAGTGCAGTGTCTAAGAACCATACCTCTATTTTGCCCGGTTTTTGAATTATCTCCCCTTTTAGAAAAATCTTGTCCGGGACATAACTCCAAAACTATAAGAGATATCAACATGAAACTTTGTAGGCAAATAGATCTCAATGGGAAGATGTGCAGTGCACAAGAACCATAACTTTGTTAAGCCTCATTTTTGAATTATAATCCCTTTTAAAAAACCTTGTCCAGGACATAGTTGTAAAACTATAAGAGATATCAACATGAAACTTTGTAGGTAGATATATCTCAATGGGTAGATGTGCAGTGCAGAAGAATCATAACTCTGCCTTGCCTAATTTTGGAGTTACTGCTCTTTGTTTATTTTTACTTTTTGAACTTTGTCTGGGACATAATTCTAAAATTGTAAGAGATATCAACATGAAACTTTGTTGGTAGATAGATCTCATTGAGTAAAAGTGCAGTACAAAAAACATAACTCTGTTTTGCCTAATTTATGAATTATCTCCCCTTTTAAAAAAATCTTGTCCGGAACTACAAGAGATATCAACATGAAACTTTGTAGGTAGATAGATCTCAATGGGTAGATGTGCAGTGCACAAGAACTTGAACTCCGCCTTGCCAAATTTTGTAGTTATTGCCCTTTGTTCATTTTTAGCTCGACTTTTAAAAAACAAAAAAACATAGAGGTATTGTTATAGACCTGGTGCCGTTGCTGTTGCCATTGCCGTCCGCAAACTTGTACCTGGATCATAACCTTTTTAGTTCTTGGTGTATTGTCTTCATACTTGGCCACAAATACCCTTGAGACAAGACCTTTTAGTAGACCCCACTAACCTTGACCTTCATCCATAAATGACCTTGACCTTCAAGGTCAAAAGTCCAAATTTTGCTTGTTCTTGCTATTATTGGCTGTAACTTTGTTGTTTTTGAATGGATTATCTTGAAACTTGAACATAATAATCTTCAAGGATAACCCTTAAAAATAACCAGACCGACATTGACCTTCACTTATAAATGACCTTGAATTTGCACAGGACCTCTGAGTGAACAAAGTTCGACTGTAGTTCAGTTATATATCTTAAATTATGTGCACATTGTTTACAGCATAAGTATAATAATAAAAATGTTTTTGTTTTTTTCAGGATTTATTGGGTATGCTAAGGACGTGTATGAAATTATTTCCCACAATGCAGTAGCAGATAACGATGATGACCAGTTATATTACACTAAAATATTTCTAGACAAATCTCTCCAGGTATGATTCATATCTATGTACAAAACATTACCACTGTATAATGATAACAACAGTAAAATTTATGTTTTAATTAAAGCTTCCATTGTTTTGTAGATTCTGTAGGGGAGAGGTATTACATGAAAGTCAGGTGCCCATTTGTGCCTGAAATAATGCACGGAGGGGCGCCTGAGGTCTTCCTCCACCAGTAAAGCTGGAACGTCCCAATAGGACCTATACTTTGTCGATGTGACATAAAACCCAAAACAAAAAATACATGAAAGACAGAGTTATTTTGGTATCTTGTCATATATTGGTAACTGTAAGTCAGTTCTTTGCAAGTTACCTGTGTTTATCAATTCTATTGGAGAGAGTTTACAAATAAAAAGAATAGTGATATTCAGTAGGAAATAAACACCAATTATTTTTTTGGTGTTTGTGTGCATAGTGACAAAATAGTCCATGGCTAAGTTGTTAAGGTCGTTCACCTCTAAGAACTTGCATGTCACTGCTGTGATTTTTGATCACTCCAGGAATTTTTTATTATGCCCCCCTTCGAAGAAGAGGGGGTATATTGTTTTGCTAATGTCGGTCTGTCTGTCTGTCTGTCGGTCCGTCCGTCGGTCTGTCCGTCGGTAGACCACATGGTTTCCGCTGATTATCTTGAAAAGTATTTATCACAAAGTCTTCATATTTTACATAGTGATTGGTCATAACTAGTAGATGACCCCTATTGATTTTGGGGTCACTAGGTCAAAGGTCAAGGTCACAGGGACCTTAAATGTCAAAATGGTTTCCGCTGATTATCTTAAAAAGTATTTATCACAAAGTCTTCATATTTCACACAGTGATTGGTCATCACTAGTAGATGACCCCTATTGATTTTGGGGTCACTAGGTCAAAGGTCAAGGTCACAGGGGCTTTAAATGTCAAAATGGTTTCCGCTGATTACCTTGAAAAGTATTCATCACAAAGTCTTCATATTTCACATAGTGATTAGTCATAACTAGTAGATGACCCCTATTGATTTTGGGGTCACTAGGTCAAAGGTCAAGGTCACAGGGACCTTAAATGTCAAAATAGTTTCCGCTGATTATCTTGAAAAGTATTCATCACAAAGTCTTCATATTTCACACAGTGATTAGTCATAACTAGTAGATGACCCCTATTGATTTTGGGGTCACTAGGTCAAAGGTCAAGGTCACAGGGACCTTAAAATGTGAAAATAATTTCTGCTGATTATCTTAAAAAGAATTCATCACAATGTCTTCATATTTCACATAGTGATTGGTCATAACTAGTAGATGACTCCTATTGATTTTGGGGTCACTAGGTCAAAGGTCAAGGTCACAGGGGCCTTAAATGTCAAAATGGTTTCTGCTGATTATCTTGAAAAATATGTATCACAAAGTTTTCATATTTCACATAGTGATTGGTCATCACTAGTAGATGACCCCTATTGATTTTGGGGTTACTAGGTCAAAGGTCAAGGTCACAGGGACATTAAAATTTGAAAATGGTTTCCACTGATTATCTTGAAAAGTATTCATCACAAAGTCTTCATATTTCACATAGTGATTGGTCATCACTAGTAGATGACTCCTATTGATTTTGGGGTCACTAGGTCAAAGGTCAAGGTTACAGGGGCCTTAAATGTCAAAAGGGTTTCCGCTGATTATCTTGAAAAGTATTCATCACAAAGTCTTCATATTTCACATAGTGATTGGTCATCACTAGTAGATGACGCCTATTGATTTAGGGGTCATTAGGTCAAGGTCACAGGGACATTAAAATGTCAAAATGGTTTCCGTTGATTTTTCCATAATTGAACACTTCCATGTACCCATTTTTGGCAAGTTTCTTTAATAAAATTACCAATTATGTGAGTCAATGGCTAGAAAGGGGGGTATATGTGTCGTTCGACATTCTTGTTTATAATTTGAGGAAGCTATCAGCTAGCTTACAGAACGTCAGTGGTTCTACTTAGGCTAGGTGCCCACTCTTGCCAGATATAATGCACAGAGGGGCAACTAATGTTTTCCTCCACCAGTAAAGCTGGAAAATCAACATATGACGTATTATATGTATTGTTGCATTAAGTTTTCATTGTTGTCAGTATGTAGAAACTGTGCATTTGTCTAAATCAATGTAATTTTTTCTCTTCTACAAACCATTGATTGATATAAGAACTTAAGAAGGTACTTATTTATACATTCAATTTCAGGAGAAGTGGAATATAAAATTGGATAAAAGATCAGAAATATTTATGAACCTACATGGAGCTCTTGGTAATATATACATGTATTATATTTGTAACACCTAGTCTTTAAAACTACATTTAATAAATTTCCGTGAAGCTAAAACGGTTAAAGTGTGTTTGCAAAAGAAAATATCTTAGTGTTTGAAATTATTTTTGTCCAATAGGATTGCAGTATTTCAAATAAATCGTAACACATTTACTTTGATAAATCCAGTCTAGAAAATCGACTGTTTATAAAAACAATTAAAAACACTAAGCAGGTTAAAATTATTTAGTATGTATTTACAAAAATAAATTGGCCGCGCGGCTGTGCCGTGCCTGACCAAATTATTTTTGTAAATACATACATATAAACTTTAACCTATACATAATTGCTGTGTTCCGGATAGCGACTATAAAACTGTGACATAGCGCATACACGATCTAATAAAAGCCTTCATTTGCATGTTAAAATTTGTATACGGACTTTAGTGTTACCGTGGGGTTTTCTGTTTAAATTCCTAATTTATGAACAATATTTGATGAGATTTTCAACAATGCTGTTAAAAAGGTTAATGAAACTGTAGAATGCTTGGTTTTTAGGCTGATGGCAAAATATATTTACATATTTATTTAATGTAGCTTTAACTGAATTTTTTATAGAAAATTTTTCACTAGATGATTTACCTGTAACAAATAAAATGTTAATGGCATTTTAACTTGCCTATGTCACAGTATAGAACCTGGTCATTATTTTATATTTCATGACTTTCGATTTAAAATTGTAAGTTAAAAACATGGATTTTTATTTGAAATTCAGTACAATTCATATACAAATAATATGTAATTTAAATTACATTGCTGTGTATTGAAGTGCTATTCAAAACTCACAGTGCTGTACTGTGCCGTGCTGTGATGTACGGAGTTGTACTGCCCAATCATATTACAGTATCTTGTAAGCAATGTAAACATTCTCATTATTGTTCAAAATTTGTCTAAAATTATTTTTTGATGATTTTTATAGATGATGTCATGTTAAAGTATAAAGGGCAGCACAGTTTTCTCTACAATGTTAAAACAGGCACAGTTCCCATTGTTATTCATGGAAATGGACCAATTAAGGTTTGTATTGATACTGACAAGTTAATTAGCTTATAAGTAATGAGATTTGATAGAATAATTAAATTACTGGTTCTCTATGTAGGGAGAAGTCTGTCGGGATATAGCCGGGAGATCAGAAAGCTGATTGGTGAACTCTGTATGCTTTATAAATTGTAATGTTTGGAAGGTATTGGTATATGAGTTTGGAATTCGAAGAGTATAAAAAATTGATAACTTGAAACTAAAGAATGTTTACATGCCAGTGAAGTTATTGACGTTTCTAGTTTAACTAATTGGAAAATGGAAGGGTTTTTCTTAACTCAGACTGAAGTACAAGTTACTCAAAGATTATGTATTAGGTTTTCATCCATCAGTAAAGCTGGAAAGTTGCCATATGATTTTACAGTATTGGTGCGACATAAAACCCAACCCGATAAAAAATAATGATAAGATGTTTCTTTAATCTTTACTGGGTAGGTCATTGACCCTATTAGCTTGCTTTTTAAGCTTGACTATTTGCAAAAATTCGAGCCAATGCTTTCCTATTTGTCGGGGTCGGCATCCTAGTGGTTAAGTTCCTATTTGTCGGCGTCGGCATCCCAGTGGTTAAGTTTTTACGTGTAAGATTCTATCTACATAACTACTGAATGAAATGGCTTGAAATTTCACACACTTCTTCTTTGTGTTTATCTTTCATGATTGGCAAAAGTCCCATAACTCTGATTTGCTTTTTTGCATATTTATGCCTTCATTTTATCTAGAAATTCTTGTTTATGTTTTTGCGTGTAAGGTGGTATTTGCGTAACTAATGAAGGGTTTGTGCCTTTTTGTGACAATTTTATGCATTCTTAATAATCAAGCAGTGATTACCTTGATGAAACATTCAAATAACAACCCTTTGTATGCTTTTGGGATAATTTTATGTACATGTATTCATATAGGTAAACATTTTACTCAATGAAACACCCTTGTTATATTTCAAGCATTGCTGTCCACTGACAGCTCTTGTTATAAATGTATGACATAGTTGTACATCAAGATATCATCAACATTTTTTAAGGTTTTATATTTTATGAGAATTTAGGTTGGCAAACATTATTAATTCAATGTTTTTGTCTTCATATAGCCAGAGTTTAACAGACTTGCTAATTATTTAGCGGACAGTTGGACATCAAGTTCAGGATGTATTGCCTGTCAGGAAGATACCATTAATCTTGAGGGATTGCTGGTAAGTTTATAAGTTAACATACTATTATAATAGTAGGGGTGGCAGGATAGGTGTGATGTCAGAATTATAGTAGTCCTTAACCAAGAGGTGACAAGATGATTTTTTAACTCCACATTTAGCTTCAGAAATTCTTTCATTCTGTAGGGGTAATATATGTTGTATATAATGGTTATGTGAAATTTTTTGTTGTATAGGTAGCAAAATGAATGTTAGCAGTGCCTGTATAATGAATAAATAATGACAGCTAATTATAATTACTTTTGCAAATTCAAAGTTCTGATTGCAAAAAAGTTATGCAGGGCTCTCTATAGGGTTAGTCCAACAAACTGTTCTACTGTACATTTAACTGGAATGATAACAGAAAAATGGAATTAAAGTGATATATAGAAAATGTAACCAGAATGATCAAAAGAAGAATGTAATTAAAGTGATATACGGTATAGAAAAATGTAACCAGAGTGATCAAAAGAAAAAATGTAATTAAAGTGATATATAGAAAAAATGCAACCAGTGATAAAAAGAAAAATGTCATTAAAGTGATATATAGATAAAATGCAACCAGAGTGATCAATAGGGGAAAAAATGTTATTAGAGTGATATATACAAAAATGTAACTTATATATATAATTGATATATATATAAAATGTAACTTGTAAATATAATATTTTGTGACTATTTATTTAAAGGAAGAGGATTATCCATCTATTGTACTGGGAGTGTTTGTGGAGCATCCAACACCATTTCTTAGGAAGCATTTAACAGAAGATTTGCGCATTAGTTATCCGCTAAACGAAAATTGATTTTCTTTACATTCATTCATATGAGTGACTCTCTTATAACTAGATAAACTTGTATTTTTTATTAATTCTATTTTTAGCTCAACTTTTTTTTTCAAAGGAAAAAAAAAATAGAGGTAATGTGCATGGCATTCTTGTCTGCAAACTTCAACATTGATCATTACGTTTTAAGTTATTTGTGCATTTACCATCTTATATAAAAAAGATTTTAAGTTGCTTTTTATATCTTTATATGGTAGCCCTGGTTTATTTGTATATATAATGTAAGCCTAATTAATTAAGCATGAACGTTTTGACTTATTTAGCTAACTTTTTTTCCTACTGCCAAACTGTTGAACAATGCAAAAAAGATATCCCGCAGTCAAAAAAATATGATGTCTCTAATTACTCGAACTAATATTACGTTCAGTCAGTTAGTACATGTATATACACTTTAACAAGGTGTGTTATCTACAGGATATTGATAATATATTGATTAACTTATTTTTAATTTATTGATCTACTGTATGAACTAGTTTCATTACTGTTTCTCGTTTTGTATTTTATTTTCAGTTAAGAAATCACCAGAATGAGATAGATTTATTCTTGAACAAGGTTGGAATATTGTACAAGTCTGTCAATACTATAGGTTCATATGACAGTATTGGTGAAGCAGCAGCCAGGAACTGGGCTATGTAATCACTTTGTTTATCTTATACATATATATATAATTATTATACACTTATAAATGAAATATAGAGAAATATCTCAAGTGTCAATGTGAATAAAAGTCGAACTGAAAAAATTAATAAAAGTTCTGTATCTTTAGGAAGCAATCACAAAGCATACTAATCAGTGACTAAAATACCTGCTGGTGTTTGAGTTATTTAATGTTTTAAGTGAACACAGGTGACTGTCCTTCACCCTTGATAGCTGGAAAATTACCTGATGACCATTACAGGCAATCTTTGACTTGAAATACAGTAGAACTTCGGTAAGTCGAAGTTGATGGGAATACTACCAAATTAAATTCTCAGCATTAAAATAAGCAAAATGTCACTTCACTTGAAATAGTACCAAATTAAATTCTCAGCATTGAAATGGGCAAAATGTCACTTCACTTGAAATAGTACCAAATTAAAATCTCAGCATTAAAATAAGCAAAATGTCACTTCACGTGAAATAGTACCAAATTAAATTCTCAGCATTAAAATGGGCAAAATGTCACTTCACTTGAAATAGTACCAAATTAAATTCTCAGCATTAAAATGGGCAAAATGTCACTTCACTTGAAATAGTACCAAATTAAATTCTCAGCATTAAAATGGGCAAAATGTCACTTCACTTGAAATAGTACCAAATTAAATTCTTAGCATTAAAATGGGCAAAATGTCACTTCACTTGAAATAGTACCAAATTAAATTCTCAGCATTAAAATGGGCAAAATGTCACTTCACTTGAAATAGTACCAAATGAAATTCTCAGCATTAAAATGAGCAAAATGTCACTTCACTTGAAATAGTACCAAATAAAATTCTCAGCATTAAAATGGGCAAAATGTCACTTCACTTGAAATAGTACCAAATTAAATTCTCAGCATTAAAATGGGCAAAATGTCACTTCACTTGAAATAGTACCAAATTAAATTCTCAGCATTAAAATGGGCAAAATGTCACTTCACTTGAAATAGTACCAAATTAAATTCTCGGCATTAAAATGGGCAAAATGTCACTTCACTTGAAATAGTACCAAATTAAATTCTCAGCATTAAAATGGGCAAAATGTCACTTCACTTGAAATAGTACCAAATTGAAATTCTCAGCATTGAAATGGGCAAAATGTCACTTCACTTGAAATAGTACCAAATTAAATTCTTAGCATTAAAAATGGGCAAAATGTCACTTCACTTGAAATAGTACCAAATTAAATTCTTAGCATTAAAATGGGCAAAATGTCACTTTACTTGAAATAGTACCAAATTAAATTCTTAGCATTAAAATGGGCAAAATGTCACTTCACTTGAAATAGTACCAAATTAAATTCTTAGCATTAAAATGGGCAAAATGTCACTTTACTTGAAATAGTACCAAATTAAATTCTTCAGCATTAAAATGGGCAAAATGTCACTTCACTTGAAATAGTACCAAATTAAATTCTCAGCATTAAAATGGGCAAAATGTCACTTCACTTGAAATAGTACCAAATTAAATTCTCGGCATTAAAATGGGCAAAATGTCACTTCACTTGAAATAGTACCAAATGAAATTCTCAGCATTAAAATGGGCAAAATGTCACTTTCACTTGAAATAGTACCAAATTAAATTCTTAGCATTAAAATGGGCAAAATGTCACTTCACTTGAAATAGTACCAAATTAAATTCTCAGCATTAAAATGGGCAAAATGTCACTTCACTTGAAATAGTACCAAATGAAATTCTCAGCATTAAAATGGGCAAAATGTCACTTCACTTGAATAGTACAATTAATTCTCAGCATTAAAATGGGCAAAATGTACTTTACAAATAGTACAAATTAAATTCTCAGCATTAAAATGGGCAAAATGTCACTTCACTTGAAATAGTACCAAATGAAATTCTTAGCATTAAAATGGGCAAAATGTCACTTTAACTTGAAATAGTACCAAATTAAATTCTCAGCATTAAATGGGCAAAATGTCACTTCACTTGAAATAGTACCAAATTAAATTCTCAGCATTAAAATGAGCAAAATGTCACTTCACTTGAAATAGTACCAAATTAAATTCTCAGCATTAAAATGGGCAAAATGTCACTTCACTTGAAATAGTACCAAATTAAATTCTCAGCATTAAAATGGGCAAAATGTCACTTCACTTGCCATGGGTTTTATATTGATTTGTTTGTTTCTAGAGAAGAATGTATAAAGAAAGATTGTCAGTATTTCTTCAACGTGGATGGTGATGTTCATCTTGAAAATGATCAAACATTAAAACTATTGATACATCAGAACAGGTGAGACAAGTTTACATTTAGAAAATAGATGTCAAGTTTGAATGCATTGTTGAAAAATAATGCATGATTGGTGCTCAAATTAGCAGCAAAACAATCAATTACTTATTTATCCCAACAACGAAAGTTTGGGGGGGTAAATAGGAGTCACTCGGTGGTAAGGGTCCGGTCGGTCCAGCGGTCTGGTTTGCATTTTCCCTTGTCCGGAGCAATAACTTGAAAGACTTATGGGTTGGAAATTCAATATAACTTCATACAATGGTCAAGCACATTGAGAGGAAGTGCAGTGCACAAGAACCCTTAATTCCATTCTTTGACTAATCCAGAGTTTATTGCCTTTGTTTACTTTTCCTTGTCCGGAGCATAACTTTTGAAAACTACTGGTTTTGAAACTCGAAACAATTTCATACCATTGTCAAGCAACAACATGGGGAAGTGCAAGTGTACAAGAAACCATAACTCTATCTTAAGTAATTACCAGAGTTATTGCCCTTTGTTATTTTTTCCATTGCTTTTCTTTGTGTCCCGGGACTATAACCTAAAGACTAATAAATGGAATTCAATATCACTTCATACAATGGTCAAGCACATTGAGAGGAAGTGTAGTGTGCAAGAACCATAACTCCATCTTGACTAATGACAGAGTTACTGACCTTTGTTACTTTTCCTTGTCCGAAGCATAACTTGAAAACTACTGGTTGAAACTCGAAACAACTTTATACAATTGTTAAGCACAATAAGGGGAAATGCAGTGCACAATAACCATAACGTTATCTAAAGTAATTACAGAGTTATTGCCCTTTGTTATTTTTCCATTGCTTTCTTTTGTCCGGACTCAAACTTGAAGACTTAATTGTTTGAATTCAATATAACTTCATACAATGGTCAAGCACATTGAGAGGAAGTGCAGTGCATGAGAACCATAACTCCATCTTGACTAATGACAGAGTTATTATTGCCCTTTGTTATTTTTCCTTGTCTGGAGCATAACTTTAAAAATACCGGTTAGAATTCAATACAACTTTATGCAGTTGTCAAGCAAATTAAGAAGAAATGCAGTGCACAAGAATTATAACTCCATTTAGACAAATTACAGAGTTATTGCCCTTTGATACTTTTCCTTGTCTGGAGCATAACTTGCAACATACTGGTTGGAATTTAAAACAACTTCATACAATGGTCAAGCACAATAACAGGAAGTGCAGTGCACAAGAATCATAACTCGATTTTGACTAATTACAGAGTTACTGCCCTTTGTTACTTTTCCTTGTCCAGAGCATAACTTGAAAACTACTGGTTGGAATTCAAAACAACTTCATACAATGGTCAAGCACAAGAACTATAACTCTGTCCAGAGTAAATATAGAGTTATTGTCCTTTGTTACTTTTCCATTGCTTTTTTCTTGTCCAGAGCATAACTTGAAAACTGCTAGTTGGGATTCAAAACAATTACATACTATGGTCAAGTATATTGAGAGGAAGTGCAGTGCACAGAAAGCATAACTCTTCTTTGACTAATTTAAAAGTTTTTTGCCCTTTGTTACTTTTTATTGTCCAGTGCATAACTTGAAAATTAATGGTTGGAATTCAATGAAACTTTATACAATGGTCAAGGGCGGTAAGATGAAGTGCAGTGCACAATAACAATAACTCTATTTGGACTAATTACAGTTATTGCCCTTTGTTACTTTTTTGTCCAGTGCATAACTTAAAAAAACTAGTAGTTGGAATTCAACACCACTTCATTCAATGGTCAAGAGCAATGAGAGGAAGTGCAGTGTACAATAGCCATAACTCAATCTTCAGTATTTATAGAGTTATTGCCCTTTTGTTCCTTTTCCTTGTCTTTCTGGACTTCTTACAGAGTAATCCAATAAAACTTCATCAATGGCCAACCACATTGAAAGGAAATGCAACATACAAGAACCACAACTATCTTTAATTGCCCACAAACCATAACTCTGTTTCAATTCTTTACAAGGTATTTTGTTACTAGTAACATCCTCATTTCCGAAGCAGTCTTGCGGTATTAATCACATTTAGTGATAGTTCTAGTTTTAGTAGATCCAGGTGATAAATGACTAAGCATGTGAAAGAGGAACCATGTATTACTCTGCTACAACACAAGAAATGTTGATATCTATTCCAAATTTAATATGCTAATAGAAAGAGAACTGATAAAAATATGTTGAATTTCATTGGCACGAAGAACTTTTTTCAAAAACATCATTTGGTTCATTGAAATAAAACTAAAAATTTTACAATAGTCACACATACATGTATATAAATGATAAAAATGCCTCATAGATATTGATAATCAGACATAACAAAAATTGATGTTGAACAAAAGTCAGTGTCGAACAACAAAAAAGAAGGGATTTTGACAGTGTTATATATTTAATATATATTTCTGAAATATTGTATTAATTGGGGAATGTAGAAGTACTACTACATTTTGATCATTTCTTTACAGACAATTAATAGCCAGACATTATATATTTGTATATTTCAGATCAGTTTTAGCTCCACTTGTTACTAGAGACGTGGTAAAGCATGGTCTAATTTCTGGGGAGCTCTCAGTGCCACAGGTTTCTACGCTCGGTCGGAAGACTACATGGATATTGTACATGGTGATAAAATGTAAGATATAAAAACTTGTTCATTTATTTCTTTTAACTCACAAATCTGAGTGAAGGTCATGACAAACATGTACCATCAGGTTAACTCTTTACTACATGAGCATAATTATTGTGAAAAATGGCCGTTTTCACTGAAAAGCGTCCTCTTACAACTTCAAACTGCTATGAAACTATGAAAAATGCTTCAATACTGAAGAAACTTGGCACAAAATGTTGACTTGACCATAGCCTTGTAACAGCATGCTCAATCTTAAATTTCCTGTTACCATGGTTACATCTCAAAATTGCAAAAATCACTATTTTGCATTGTTTTTTTCCTTCTAAACTGATTTCAAAGTGCTGCAACTTCTCAGTGGATTGAGATAGAGTAAAAGCCTTTTCAGCGTTGGTTACACGTTACCTTACGATTGACCTGAAGCCATTTTTAGCCTGTCACATGTCAAAAATTTTCTTGGCAAACCCCCGAAACAGAAGGGGGCACATCCCCCATCTGGCAACCCCTTGATGAACCTTTTGAATAGGGTCGGCACCGAAAAAGTGATAACTTTTTTATCAACATTACTCAAACAAAAAACAGTGTTTGGGCCTAAATAGGACATTTTTTTTCACTGTTTTAGGCCTTAACAGGCGGGGGGGGGGTTTGGTTGAAAAGTCTGGTCAAAAGCACTGTCTATATGAGGTAGGTTACCACAGGCTTTTAACCATAGAAATAGATATGCATGGCATAACAATTTAAGTGTAAGATTATTTGTGAGGATTTATTCTAGGAAATGATATTCTTTAATTCATTGTTAAGTTTCTTTCTTAATTTTTAAGTCCTAATATTATTTCATTAATTATAGTATTATAAATGACTGTATACATAATATATATATGGAAGATAAACGTTTAAAGTTTATTTTTAATCTTAAACTTTTAATCTGGTGTTGTTTGTGTTAATAGGCATCAGAGCCGCACTGAAGTCAGAAATGAAATTCATTGATATTTATTCTATTTTAGTGCTAACTATTGATAACCCACAACATCTATAATATTAAATCTTTATCAGAAATATTATGATGATTATTTTAGATCATTAAAGTTTGAAATATTCTGACAGACTCTGACAGTCTGGATGCTGATATGGCATTATGTAAAACTCTGAGAGAAAAGGTATACACACAGCTTAAACCTTAGCCTGCTTGGTACTGATAATTATAAAACTTTCCCACCAGTTTGTAACCAGACCTGCTGGTACTCAGAATTATTGAGCTTTCCCACCAGTTTGTAACCAGAACTGTTGGTACTGATAATTATAAAGGTTTCCCTCCAGTCTGGAATCAGAACTGCTAGTACTGATAATTATAAAGGTTCCCTCCAGTCTGGAATCAGAACTGCTGGTACTGATAATTATTAAGGTTTCCAACCAGTCTGGAATCAGAACTGCTGGTACTGATAATTATTAAGGTTTCCCTCCAGTCTGGAATCAGAACTGCTGGTACTGATAATTATTAAGGTTTCCCTCCAGTCTGGAATCAGAACTGCTGGTACTGATAATTATAAAAGGTTTCCCTCCAGTCTGGAATCAGAACTGCTAGTACTGATAATTATAAAGGTTTCCCTCCAGTCTGGAATCAGAACTGCTGGTACTGATAATTATTAAGGTTTCCAACCAGTCTGGAATCAGAACTGCTGGTACTGATAATTATTAAGGTTTCCCTCCAGTCTGGAATCAGAACTGCTGGTACTGATAATTATTAAGGTTTCCCTCCAGTCTGGAATCAGAACTGCTGGTACTGATAATTATAAAGGTTTTCCCTCCAGTCTGGAATCAGAACTGCTGTTTTATAGGAGCTTCCATTCTCAAGTGGTTATGGTTTCTTATTTTGTACTAGTTGCCCCTCACTACAGTATGGTGAATTTTAGCTAGAGATTTTTTGATAATTTTCTGTAAAGAACCTGTCCAGCTTGCAAACAGATGGTTGGTTGTTCTACATAGGTGCCTTAATGAAATAAAAACATGTAAAGATTTAAAGTCACCATTTAATATTTAAAATGCTTTTATAAAGACAATGTACATAAATTATTTTCTGAAATTTTAAATTTTCAATTAATGTATGATAAATGAATTCAGAAGATTCTTGTTATTTGACTCGATAAGCACAGACACAATAAACACTCATTTTTAGCCGATGACAACAAATTTCATGCTCTAGATAAATAATACCATTGTATAATTTTATAAAAGTGTTTCTATTGTATTGCTTTATAATTGTGTTTATATTGGATTACATTATAATTTACCTTGTATTACTTTATAAATGTGTTTATTTTGTATTACTCTATAAATTCACCTTGTATTACTTTATAAATTGTTTATTTTGTATAACTCTATAAATTCACCTTGTATTACTTTACAGATGTGTTTATTTTGACATTTCAGGGTTATTTTATGTTTATTTTGACATTTCAGGGTTATTTTATGTTTATTTTGACATTTCAGGTTATTTTATGTTTATTTTGACATTTCAGGGTTATTTTATGTTTATTTTGACATTTCAGGGTTATTTTATGTTTATTTTGACATTTCAGGATTATTTTATGTTTATTTTGACATTTCAGGATTATTTTATGTTTATTTTGACATTTAAGGGTTATTTTATGTTTAATTTTGACATTTCAGGGTTATTTTATGTTTATTTTTTGACATTTCAGGGTTATTTTATGTTTGTTTTGACATTTCAGGGTTATTTTATGTTTGTTACAAAAACAGGAAAGAGTTTGGTTACCTGATCAACTCAGATGGAGCACAGACTGGTAGACTTCATATTGGAATTATGGGAAATATTTAATAACCCGTTTGATTGGGGAGAAACGATACATACACCTAAATTATTCACACAGTTTAGCAGAAAATGCTGTCATAGAACAGGTAATGGCAATCATTAATCATTTTGAAATTTTAATTTGAATACATTCCTTGTCCAGTAAGAACATATGTTACGACAATGGTAAGGTTTACAATAGTATGTCTAGTTTTGTGTTCCTCTGACATATAACTTACACGGAGAAGTTGGCAAGTAATTATAGAAAAAATAATTAACTTCTAGTATTAAGTCTATCTGCATTTTTCCAGGCCTTTTTGGCCGTGGAGTTAAAGTGGTGGACTGTGAACCACTTGCCTATGAACCACTTGCCCCTAGTGGTTTGAATCTTTCAAGAACTTAAAGAGTTTTTTTAAGTGAAGAAGTTTGTAAAGAAGATTGTTTTACTCAGGTACCAGCATGTGCCTGAAGAAACATTTTGTTGTGTGAATATATTGTCAATAAATAATAATGATTGGAATACTATTAACCCTTTCACTGCCATACGGGATGGCTTATTCCGTCCCTGGTATTGGGCGTATTTGCCATATGGAACGCTTTGCCGTTTTACTATAAAATCATAATAAAAATAAATAAAAAAATAATAAATATAAATACGATATAAAGAAATAATACTCACCGACAATAATTAATTATAACCTAATCATATTTTGGAAACATTATAATTCGTTATATCTATATAATATATGTAATTGTATTAATTATAATATAAGTATTTTCTTGATAAACGCCTCTGCAATAGGTGATACAATAAAGCATAACCTCTCTGGCAGCGAAAGGGTTATAACCAAGTCTTGGTACCTAACAAATTATTGTCCTTTTAACAAAGTGAACATGAATATTGTCATCCATACTTACAGCATTCCGATGTTTCTGGTTCCATTATACAGAAGTTTGTGATGAGATAGTAGCAGAGTTAGAAAAATGTCAACATTTGGTCGCGGTGGCAGAGCGAGGTATGTTTTGAGCCCGCGTCACAACAAAACCAAGATAATGGTTTTTGCGACCAGCATGGATCCAGACCAGCCTGCACATCCGCGCAGTCTGATCAGGATTCCATGCTGTTTGCTTACAGACCTTTAACAAGTAGAGAAACTGAATAGCGAATAGCATGGATCCTGATCAGATTGCGCATAAAACACAGGCTGGTCTGGATCCATGCTGGTCGCAAACTCATTACGTTGGTTTTGTCGTGACACGGCTCAATTTGTATTCAGTTTTATCTTTATATTAAAAGATCATTAATTTCACCATTATTTATTGCTATGGTAATCATCAAGGTGATCTCATAACTTATGAAAATATAAAACTGTTTAATAATAAACTGTAATACATGTAAAATAAATGACTCGGATTTTGTTAATAGACATTTGATTAATGAGCTAGTGATTTTAAAACTTCAAATTTGGCTGTATGTTTTAATTGACATTTGTAATAAATAACAAACATTAAGTTAAACTGATAGCTGTGAAAAGCTTGAGTTTATTTTTTTGCTCTTTCAAATTAAAGATTATCCTGCTGTAACCAAAATTGTTGAGCGTTAGGCATCAGTCTAGAGCCAGTGTGCAGTCTGACCAGGCTCTATACTGTTCATAGCCTAATTTTTATATTTTAATATTAAAATCCTTTAAATTTCATTGACTTTGAAAACCTGGCAAAATCATTCCACAAGTTTGGCAGATTATTGATTGATTTCGTGATAATTGGTTGATAATTGGTTAATAATTGGTTAATAATTGGTTAAAAATTGGTTGATAATTGTTAATAATTGTTAATAATTGGTTAATAATTGGTTAATAAAATGGGTGTTAAAAATTGGTTAAAAATTGGTTGATAATTGGTTAATAATTGGTTAATAATTGGTTAATAATTGTTAAAAATTGGTTGATAATTGGTTAATAATTGGTTGATAATTGGTTGAATAATTGTTTTTTTTGTAAAATAAAGTATGATTAAGTAGAGTATTATTTTAGGACACTAGTTAGCCTGTGGTTACGAGAATGTACCTACTGACGCTGGTATCATTATGACACAGATTAACCTACAGAATCAATGGCTGGAATCTTGACGTGTTTATGTAAGCTCCCCTAGCACCAAGTTTATCCTGGATACTATAGTAATGTTTAGAATAGCTTAAAGTTGTTTATGCATGTTAGATTTGATGCTTGACATTGCTAGCTCTGCATCCCCTCCCCATACTTACCCTCATTTAACAAAACTCTTTTCGTCTCTAGATGTATTCCAGCATGTCAGATGAGAGCCTGAATTTTCTACTTGCCTTTTTTTATTGCTGTCTTAAAAATGTCATAAATTGAGTTGCCATCTTGTTATAAACTTATATAAAACAAGTCTACCAAAAAGTTCATTTATTATCAGTAATTTTATGACATGACATAAAAAAAGGAAAAGGGGAAATCTTTTGAAAGCAGTGTAATTAAAATTGGAGAGGTAACTAGCGCCAACTTTGTTTTTTTTTTCTATATTTGAGGGATACTTAATCTCTCATGCTCTCCAGTGTGAGCTTATGTGGCATTAAATTGTACAATCTGATTTTAAGTAATGGAACAATGATAATTGACTGGAAAATGTGTCACAGCATCAGAAAGTTTTAAACACAATGGCAAAAACACCATTTAAATTACATGTTGCATAATGGTAATAACTATTCATGTGTAAATATATTGTTTGTTTCAAAATGAATGAAAAGATTGTCATTTTATTATGTAGGTTCACATGTATGATGACAATGTTTTTCTCAACCTTCATGTATGATTGCATGATTCTACTATTTTTTCTGTAACTGTAAACATATGTGGTGTTACAACAGTCATTGTAACAGATGCAGTGTAACAGCCAAGTAACTGTAACAGATGTGGTGTTACAGCCAGTAACTGTAACAGTTGTTGTGTTACAGCCAGTAACTGTAACAGATGTGGTTTTACAGCAAGTAACTGTTACATATATGGTGTTACAGCAAGTAACTGTAACAGATGTGGTGTTACAGCAAGTAAACTGTAACATATGTGGTGTTACAGCAAGTAACTGTAACAGATGTGGTATTACAGCAAGTAACTGTAACATATATGGTGTAACAGTCAGTAAGTGTACAGATGTGGTGTTACAGCAAGTAACTGTAACAGATGTGGTGTTTCAGCAATGTAACTGTAACATATATGGTGTAACAGTCAGTAAGTGTAACAGATGTGATGTTACAGCAAGTAACTGTAACAGATGTGGTGTTACAGCCAGTAAACTGTAACAGATGTGGTGTTACAACCAGTAACTGTAACAGATGTGGTTTTACAGCCCGCCTCCGTGGTCGAGGGGTTAGAGTCGATGACTTCTAATCCAGTTACCTCTCTGGCGTGGGTTCGATCCCCGGGAGATGCTTTGGTAGTTTAGCGCGGAGGAGGTAGTCTAGTACTGGTGTAACTCTCCAGAACAATGGTTAGGAAACTAACCCGCCTATATGACTGAAATACTGTTGGAAAAAGGCGTAAATGAAACAAACAAACAAACAAACCAAACAGTCAGTAAGTGTAACAGATGTGGTGTTACAGTAAGTAAATGAAACAGATGTGGTGTTTCAGCAAGTAACTGATAACATATATGGTGTAACAGTCCAGTAAGTGTAAGAGATTGTGGTGTTACAGCAAGTAACTGTAACAGATGTGTGTTTCAGCAAGTAACTGTAACATATATGGTGTAACAGTCAGTAAGTGTAACAGATGTGATGTTACAGCAAGTAACTGTAACAGATGTGGTGTTACAGCCAGTAACTTTTACAGATGTGGTGTTACAACCAGTAACTGTAACAGATGTGGTGTTACAGTCAGTAAGTGTAACAGATGTGGTGTGTTACAGTAAGTAACTGAAACAGATGTGGTGTTACAGTAAGTAACTGAAAACAGATGTTGTGTAACAGTCAGTAAGTGTAACAGATGTGGTGTTACAGCAAGTAACTGTAACAGGTGTGTGGTGTTTCAGCAAGTAAACTGTAACAGATGTGGTGTTACAGTCAGTAAGTGTAACAGATGTGGTGTTACAGTAAGTAACTGAAACAGATGTGGTGTTACGGTCAGTAACTGTGTAACAGGTGAGGTGTTACAGCCAGTAACTGTAACAGTTGTGGTGTTTACAGCCAGTTACTGTAACAGATTTGGTGTTACAAGCCATTCACTGTGACAGATGTTGTGTTTCAGCCAGTCACTGTAACAGATGTGGTGTTACAGCCAGTTAAAGTAAACAGATGTGGTGTAACAGCCAGTCACTGTAACAGATGACATGGTGTTACAGCCAGTTACTGTAACAGATGTGGTGTTTACAGCCAGTTACTGTAACAGATTTGGTGTTACAGCCATTCACTGTGACAGATGTTGTGTTTCAGCCAGTCACTGTAACAGATGGTGTTACAGCCATTACAGTAAACAGAATGTGGTGTAACATTCAGTCACTGTAACAGATGACATGGTGTTTCAGCAAGTAACTGTAACATATATGGTGTAACAGTCAGTAAGTGTAACAGATGTTATGTTACAGCAAGTAACTGTAACAGATGTGGTGTTACAGCCAGTAACTGTAACAGATGTGGTGTTACAACCAGTAACTGTAACAGATGTGGTGTTACAGTCAGTAAGTGTAACAGATGTGGTGTTACAGTAAGTAACTGAAACAGATGTGGTGTTACAGTAAGTAACTGAAACAGATGTGGTGTAACAGTCAGTAAGTGTAACAGATGTGGTGTTACAGCAAGTAACTGTAACAGATGTGGTGTTTCAGCAAGTAACTGTAACAGATGTGGTGTTTTACAGTCAGTAAGTGTAACAGATGTGGTGTTACAGTAAGTAACTGAAACAGATGTGGTGTTACAGTCAGTAACTGTAACAGGTGAGGTGTTACAGCCAGTAACTGTAACAGTTGTGGGTGTTACAGCCAGTTACTGTAACAGATTTGGTGTTACAGACATT